TTTTCCTGGACATCTCAACCAGGATGTCTTTCGGTCAAATCTGATACAATATATTTAAAATATTTCAGTGTCTTTTGCTCTCAAACCTGCTCTTTTCATCAGTAAAGAGTATACCCCAGTCTCCATTTGTTCAAATCTAGGTGTTGTAAACTTCTCCCTTTCTTCTGTCACCAGACTTCCAGTGAATCACCAATTTATAGAGGTGTGCTTCCGCCACTTTTTTCCTCTCCCATTGTCACCACTGCTGTCTGACTGTCATCTCATCTAGACTGCTGGGAAAGGCACTGTAGAGTAGTGTTAAGAACACAGGTTCTGGAGTCAGGCTACCACTTACTAGCTTTGTGAACTTGGGTGAGTGACATATTCTCTGCCTGCCAATTTTCACATCTGAAAAATGGGGGTAATAATTCCATGTTTACTTAAAGGACTTTGGGGTTGGGAACACTGAAGGAGACAGTTCCTGTAGAGTGTCAGTACCTAATATATGGCAAAGTATTCAGCAGTTGCTCCCGGCCGCTTGCTGCTTGGGCTTGCCTGGGGGCTCATGCGGTGACGAGCCTGCAGTGCGGGAGACCCGGACTCAGCCCCTGGGTTGGGAAGATGGAGAAGGAAATGGCAGCCCACTCCAGTACTCTTGCCTGGGATATTCCATGGACTGAGGAGCCTGGTGGGCCACAGTCCATGGGGTCTCAAAGAGTCGACACGACTGAGCGACTTCACTTTCTACTCCTTGAAAGGAAAGTTATGACCAACCTAGACAGCATATTAAAAAGCAGAGACATTATTACCTTGCCAACAAAGGTCCGTCTAGTCAAGGCTATGGTTTTTCCAGTGGTCATGTATGGATGTGAGAGTGAAGAAAGCTGAGCACCAAAAAACTGATGCTTTTGGAGAAGACTCTTGAGAGTCCCTCGGACTGCAATCCATCCTAAAGGAGATCAGTCCTGGGTGTTCATTGGAAGGACTGATGCTGAAGCTGAAACTCCAATACTTTGGCCACCTCATGCTAAGAGTTGACTCATTGGAAAAGACCCTGATGCTGGGAGGGATTGGGGGCAGGAGGAGAAGGAGATGATAGAGGATGAGACGGTTGGATGGCATCACCGACTCAATGGACATGAGTTTGAGTAAACTTTGGGAGTTGGTGATGGACAGGGAGGCCTGGCGTGCTGCGATTCATGGGGTCACAAAGAGTTGGACATGACTGACTGAACTGAACTGCTATTATAACATTATAGCAATCCCCTGTATCTAATCTTGCCAGCTTCTAATTCCTTCTTTATACCGAAGTCCCAGGTGATCTTTTAGAAAACAAAAATCATTTCCCTGCAGCAGTGTCTCATCGTCCCTTGAATTCCAAGCTGCCAAACATGGCTTACGAGGCCTTTTGCGATCTGCTTCCTGCCCTTCTTTCTTGCTTTTTCCTCTGCCGCTCTCCCCTTCCATCTTCGGGGTGTCTGGACCACTTTCAGGTCACTTGCACACCATATTTCTCTCCTCTGGCTTTCCTACTTGGTGTTCATTCTGCCTGAAATGATCTTTCCTCATTCTGTCTTCTTACTGATCCTTTGTTGTATTTTAAATATTTCCTCAAGGTGGCCTTCCCTGACCTCCTAAACTGAGCTAAAGCACTTTATATACTCCCCTACCATCTTTTCATAACATTGCCAGACATGTACTTGTCTCTCCTCCACTTATCTGGGAACTGTCAGTGGCCAGTTTTGTTCATCACTATACTCCCAGTTTAACAGGGTATGTGTCTGGCACAAAGGAAGCCAGCAGACATTTGTGTTTTTTTTTTTTTTTTAACTTCTCTTTGCCTTCATTTCCTCATTTTCAATATATAGAAAGAATGCTGACCTCTTACGGTTATGTGGATCAAATAACACAATACCTTCAAAATACCACTGAAGCTTTGAGTTATGACAACATGAAGTCTTACTAAAATAAAAATGACCCTGGCAGTCAGTGGTTAAGACACCACGCTTCAACTGCAGGGGGCACAGTTTCGATCCTTGATTGAGTAACTAAGATTCCTGCATGCCACATGGCATGGCCAAAGTTTTTTTTAAAAAATAAGAGATTCAAAATTAGGATTGGGTCATCTCGAAACCACTACCAGAATGTAAGCTCTGTGCATGAAGGGACTGTTTCTCCTCTATTCCCCTAGATTCTAGAGCACAGTTAATATCTGTGGGATGAAGGAGGCATAAAAATAAAAGAAGAAAGCAGATGCACCTAATGACACCCTTTTGACTGTACTGCACATACCTATTCCTATAGCAACACTCTGGACTTCGTATCATCTTATAATGTTCTATTTCTAAACTCAAAAACCCAGACATCTCTCTCTAACCTCAGCCAACTGCCTTTCCAGTTCACTTCCATCATACCTATTCTTAATAGCATGTGGATATCCCCTGTCACCTTCCTGTCCTTACTTCCTTTCTCATGGCCTATCATTGCCAACATTCTTGCTCTCACCCCAACTTCCCTTATGCCTTTGTGTCTCGGTGCTCACTCTTAGTAGAATTCAAACTTGCATAAATCCAGCCATCTATTATAAAGGGGAAGATGAAGGAAGAATATGAGAGCGGCAGATTTAGTTATACGTTTGGAGGCAGTGATTAGGTGGTTTTAGTCTTTCGGCTTCTACTTTCTCTGTGAAGTATTAAGTTATCCCTTCTGTGTTTTTACCTGAACTGAGGCTGCTAAGTACTGCTGGAGAAAATCAACTGGTAGGTATGGTACCGTTATGCATCATTATTCATCCTAACCATGTTTTCAACATTGCTCCGCAGTCCTACAGTTGTAATGAGCGCAGCCATCACCGCTGCAATTCTGCTGTGTTTTGCTGCAACTTAAATATCAGTCTCCCTCTTTTCAACTCCAGTTTGACTTTTGTACAAACTATCTTCCTCCAAGGAACCGTTTCCTGTTTCCAAGTCCACTCCTTTGAGATCTGGAGGCAGCCATGACTTATATGAAGCTCTATTTGCAAAGGCATTGAATTTTTGTTTCTGAATTAGAGACTTGAGTCATAAGGCACTGGAGAAGTGGTTCTCAACCCTACTGCGGGCGCAACACACACTTTTAAAAAAATAAAATTTGTAACAAATGTAAAATGGTATAGGCATTTTAGAAAATAGTTTGGTGGTTCCTCCAAGTTACAGAGTTGCCATATTAGACCCACCAATTAGACTTCTAGGTAAAACCCCAAAACAAATGAAAACAAATGTCCACAGAAAAGTTTGTATGTATAGCAGCATTATTCATAATAGCCAAAAGGTAGAAACAGCCCAAATGTCCTTCAACTGAATAGATAAATAATGTGGTATACCCATTCAATGGAATATTATTCATCAGTAAAAAAGGAATGAAGTATTGATACATGGTACAACATGGATGAACCTTGGAAACGTTATGCTGGATGGTAGAACCCTGAAACAAGAAGCCACCTTTTGTATGGTTCGATTTACAGGAGTGTCCAGAGTAAGTAAATCCATAAGGACAAGATGAGTGGCTACCAGAGACTAGGGCAGGGAGAAGTGAGAAGTGAGTGCTAACGGCTACAGGGGTTTCTTTGGGAGGCAATGAACGTGTTCTGAAATGAGATAGTGGCAGTGGTTGCACAATATTGTAGATGTTAAAAACACTGAATTGTACACTTTAAAAAGGTGAATTTTATAGTATGCGAATCACATCTCAAAAATGAGGATTTCCCTGGTGGTCCAGTGGTTAAGAACCGACCTTGCAGTGCGGGGACGTGGGTTCGATCCCTGGTCAGGAACTAAGACCCCACATGCTATGGGGCAGCTAAGCCCATGTGCAGCCACCTGAGATCCCACACGATGCAGCCGAAACCCAAAGCAGCCAGTAAAGTCTAACGTTCCTATACAGTCTGTTCTTTTAATCCATGTACAATCTTTAAAATATTTGATAATTTTGCACACTTTGCCTACAATATAATTTCAACATCCTAATTTTAACTTAAATGAGGATTTTTTAAAAAATTTATGATAAAGTATGAATTTCCAGGACTGCCATCTGTGCCACGCAGATTATACACTGTAGAATTCCAAGGGCACCACTTCTAAGGTCTACATACATGATGTACTTCATAAATGCTTAGATACCGTGTATTCCACTGGAAGAAACTGATGACTGTTTATACCTATACACTGAAGTATACTGAATCCAACAGCCTCAGATGTAGACTTATGTAAATACTTTATTGATGATTCAGACACCATGAACAGCTTTGCTGGGGTAATAGGAATTTCTAAAGTAATAAAGGATGAAGGAGCATCTTCCTTTGTTTTTTATTATGGTTGTACTACTGGTAAATTCAGTGTGTTTTAAAACTATGCAAAAAGTACTTTGCATTCATATGCAAGGTGACACTGGGGTCTAGGCTCAGAGGCTAAGGTTTTCACCTACAGTAATGTCCAGGGGCACCAGTATTCACGCGTGAGGCTTTCAGCTTTCCGTGCCAGGGTCGGTAGACGTCAGCAGCCCACCTCACTCCAGGCCCGTTGCTATGACAACCAGGAACTTGTCTGAGGGGTTGGTACGTCAAGAACTACTGCATTATTGAAGACACAAGTGAATAAGCACTATATTTCAGAAAGGAGTGAGTTACTCCTGGTTCTTTTAGATACTTTAGGCATTTCGGTAAAACAGAACATTTCCTTTCTCCACAAGACTTAGCAAAGACTGAGGAGGAGAGCTGTTATATCTGAGAAGTGTGCTCCTCACATTGGGATTCAAAATGACCTAAACTGCTTTGCCTGTATTTTTGAATTTTTTCTAGTACCCAGGGGAGAAAAAAAACAGTACCTCTCCAAGATCCAAAACACATTTTGCCTTTTTTCTGGATGAATTAAAGTACTGCTGCTTATATACTGTCAGGGTGTTGTCTGATAAACCTGTAACTCACTTCCCCTCCCTTGATAATCACTGCTTTCTTTTCCTCTCAGATGATCTCCAGATCCCTGGTCATGGAGTATTTGACTAATCCTGGTGCACTTAGCTTGGCTGCCGGAGTTGCCTGTGGTGTGTGCCTGGGCTGGGGCCTCCGAGTGCGCTTTGGAATGCTCCCCAAGAGCTCAGTGAGGGAGACAAATGTTGACGCTGAGACGGAAGCAAGCATCCTCGGAGAAAGTGGGGAGTACAAAATGATTCTTGTGGTTCGAAATGACTTAAAGATGGGAAAAGGGAAGGTGGCTGCCCAGTGCTCTCATGCTGCTGTTTCTGCCTACAAGCAAATTCAAAGGAGAAACCCTGAGTTACTCAAAGAGTGGGAATACTGTGGCCAGCCGAAAGTGGTAGTCAAAGCTCCTGATGAAGAAACTCTGGTTGAATTACTGACCCATGCAAAAGTGCTGGGACTGACTGTAAGTTTAATCCAAGATGCAGGACGTACTCAGATTGCCCCAGGCTCTCGAACTGTTTTAGGAATTGGACCAGGACCAGTGGACCTAATTGACAAGGTCACCGGTCACCTAAAACTTTACTAGGTGTAATTTTGTATGATGATGGTGGTCCCACCACCACAAGTGTTTGAAACTGTCAAATTCTAACAATAAAAGCTGAATTTCTTCCCCCAGCTAAGTATTCTTGAGATGAAATTCCATTCACGTGTTCTTCTGTCATGTACTTGGCCTGGTTACAGAGTTATCTTGGGCTAAAAAAAAAAAAAGTTTGGTTAATAGTCCTGGTGATTCACGTGATGAGTGCTGAGACAAGAAATGTTTAAAATGAGAGGCACAGATCACAATAAAATTGGCCTAGAGGTGGGAAACATTTCCTGTGAGTGATTAGGCCCCTTTGTGTGTTACTAGGCTTTCTTCCAAGACTATGTTGCTGTCCTCCTTGGAGGGTCAGGGGTTCTAGGGTATTCCTAATTTAGATGTAAACTGCAGTTTGTTTTTCCTTACCTCAGTTTTTGAGTATTTAAAATCTAACCTTGTGGATTCTTCCCAAAGCTGAGGTTTTTCCAGCACTGACCTAACCCCCCGTGCCATGTTTCACATTCATTCCCTCGCCCACGCTGGCTAGGCTTTCTCTGCGGTGGTCCCACATCTCCAGTCCACCCCTTTCCTGACAGTGAGGGCACTGAGACTTGTGAAGTGACTCACCTGGACCTTGAAGGTGGTTATGGGCCCATAGAGAAATTCATGGTAATTGTGCAGTGGCTGTTACTTATCATCGTAACATCCCAGTATTTTCTTTACCTAGAACTTAAGGAACTGGACAATTCAACTACTTATCTCCCTTTTGATCTTTGTACATTCAGCATGACATAATCCAAATAATTACCAGCTGCCCAGAATATGAAGGTTCCCGGCTCCCGAGAGCCACATAGCTTCCTGATCTCCTTTTCTGGCAAAAAGCCATTTGTCTTGAAAGCTTCCTTTGGGGGGATTCTGACAGTATTTCTAAATTCAGAATATTCCTAAGAACTTCGATGTCAGGGAGATTATTTTGGTAACAGGCACATATTGATTGCAACTCACCATGGTTAACTTCAACAGTTAGCATTAGTTAGTTGTTAACTTCAACATAAGCAGCCATGTAGCACAACCGCAAGGTCTACGGCCAGTGGCGTCTGGGCAGAACACTAGAGACTCCTGCAGCCAGGCTGGGAGGCTCCAGTTGGTCAGCCTTTTACACTGGTATCTGACAGCACAGAAGAAATCGCAACTCTGAATGACGCCACAGTAGCAACAGAATGTTTATACTGGTTTCCAAAGTGATGCAACAGCATGTAACTGAGTTGAAGGGAACTCAATCCTAAATGTGTGATTCCACTTCAGATAATTTCTGAGGCTTGCCTCAGATTGATGGTTCCAGGTTCAAAGACAGTGCATTCCCAACAGGACCATCTGCTCTGGCTGACAATGTAATTGAGGAAAATCATGGCATATCTACTAGAACGAATAGTATACAAACACTGGTAGTTAAGGAAACATGTTTTCTAGCTCACCTGTACTTTGCTATTTATTTTGTAAGGTTCATAATTTTATTTCATGGTTCACAAAGCAGAGAACCCTGGGGTTTCTAAAGACACCTGCAAGGGGTCAAAACAATTTTCCTGATACTCATTCTTTTCCATTGTTTTGACATTTGCAGTGATGATAAAAAAGCAAGGGTGGGTAATACTGCTGGCACCTCTCACAAATCAAGACAGGGGCACCTATCTGTACCAGGAGTCACTGTAGTTGTCACTGCCCTACATTTAATTTAAAAAGCTTAATGTCCTTGATGAAGCAGTAAAAACATTATTAAATTTGACCCTTGACTGCTTGTCTTAATATTCTCTGTAATGTCAAACACTGCTGGTGCGCACTGAGGTATAACTGTCATCTTAAGGGAAAAAAAAGGCTTGTGTGGCTGAGTCCTGAGCTGAACTAGCTGCTTTTGTCATCAAACATTTTTACTTGCAAAACAACTGACACAATCTAGTTATGCAGATCTAGATGTTCAGCAGATATAAACTACAAAAGATTCATTTTCATGGTTCCAGAGTCCACATTTCAACTAATCACAAGTATCTAGAAAGGTTATTAAATCCGCCTTCCAGTGCAGGAGACCAGTTCAATCCCTGGTCAAAGCACTAAGATCCCACATGCTATGTGGCCAAAAAAGACTCTTTTCCTTTCCTAACTAAATAGCTGTATGAGGCCAACTTTTTGAATACAGAAGAGTCTCTGTTCAAAAGAGTTGTAAAAAATAGTACAATGCCATTCATTCTTGCTTGACTTCTGTTTGGGGAAACATGCTCACGTTATTATTGCTTACATTAACATGCAATGCTTATTAGTGTCATTTAAATGGGTTAACAGTTTTAAAAAGTTGTTTTAACTATTAATAATAAGTAGGAATAGATACAATCCCACATAAACTAGTGCTCTTTGGGATCATCAATAATTTGAATATGGTTACTTTATGGTAAACTTCTAAATCAGGGAGTTTAAAATCTTTTATTCTTTTTCAAAATTGAGCTGGTTATTCTAGGTTTTTTCACTTTCATATTTATGTGAATTTATGGCGGGGGAGCCTCCTATGATACCGACAGAAATGACATCAACTTTATAGGTATTTTTGGTGAAAACTGGCATCTCACAAGTTCTGAATCATGAATGTATTTTCTCTCTCCATTTGTTTTAATCTTCAGTTTTTTCAGCATGATTTTTTAGTTACCTTTTGTTAAATTTATCACCAGTTAATTCTCGATTCTTATTTTGCAAAATTTCATATTGGTTTTATTGCTCTTTTAATTTTGAGACCTTGCTAAAAAAGCTTTTTAAAGAGTTATTTTTATAAAAACATTGCTTAGGATTTGCTTCATACAAGATTAGGTCATCTATGAATAAAAATAGCTTTACATCTTCAAAAAAATTGCATATTTTTGATTATAGACAGATCCTAAGAAAAAGTTTAAGAACCACTACAGTGAGGTATCTGCATGAGCAGCCTTACATGGAGACCAGCCTCTTGCTATTGTACCAATGCCTGTGTTGAAATGATTGTCAACAATTACACCTTTTTTTGGTATGATGCTTACATTTGGATACTAGGGAGGAGGATCATTGAAAAATGTTTACCTCGAAAGTTTCCTATTAATCTTTTTCCCATTCTTCCCTTCTGTTTTAGTTACTTTTAGAGTGGCAACAACTCTTATTTTTAGTTCCTTCTGTCAGACCATCAAACATCATCCTATTCAGAGGAAAGTTATGGAAGATCCCTTATAGTTTATTACTAATTCATTCTATCTCTTCTTGTACAGCACTCAATACTGCTGCCCAGTATTGAGCTACCTGTTTTGTGATTTAAACACTTCTCCAAATAATCCTGAAAAACAGTCATGGTGTTAACATACACGTGAGGGGACAAGCTCAGAAGCTCAGCCTGCCCTCAGTTTAAGCCTGAGTAATGCACTGCTGCAGTTCCTCTTTATACTATAGCCCATTATATGGATGGTCTAAGTGGCAACTTGGTATCACAGACACAGCACCAGGTTAAAGTTTTTAAAAAACAATTCTTAACTATGCTGTAAGAAAACCTGTATGGAAAAATTTTAACTTGTTTCTATTAGGGAAGGGAAAAGAGGAAAATTCCGTTGATAAAAACCAGTTGATTCTAAGTATGTCTACGAGAACAAATCTTGATTCTGAAAAGGAGCTCCCAGGGACCATTATTCTTCTCCCTCTTGATGTTGATAAACATGAAGAAAGAGGGCAGAGACCCAGGAGAAACACCAGTATGCCCAGGACCTGAGCAGCAAGATGGTCCCTAAGACAAACCAAAAAACGAAAAGGGATTTTTCCAACTAATACTGTAATTTCCTATAGGAATATAGGTGGTGGGGGGAGGAAGACAGGAGTTCTAAGGTTTAAAAAAGCACTTCTGTGGAGTTTATGGTCAATGACTCGACTTTAAAGCAATACAAAGCTAGGTGGGGGCTCTCCAGCTCTACTGAGAATTAACTGTGAAATGAATTTAGGGTAACATTCTCAGTCATACACAAAAAAACTTGAATTCAAACACTGGTTTTAAAAAATCAACTTAAAATATTCATAATTTGAAGACCTTTACAATTCATGGTGAAGAACAGCATGTTCACTATGTGCTTATACTTTGTTATTTCAAGTTAATAAAATTTAACATCCATGACCTCTTCATCTGAATGAAATGCTTAAACTGGTTAAAATGATGGAGGTAGCCCACGTCAGCACTGATGGGTTTTTCTGACCTCTGCATGGACCTCACAAACTACTGGAATGCACAGTGTGATGCAGTGTTTTCACATGTCCCAACCCCTCTTCTCTCTATACTACCTTAGTATCCAGTATGAAATGGTTCTTGTGGTTTAAGAGAGATTTAAGTAAAACTGCCATTCTCCATGTTGTTTCCACAGTCCAGTAATTTATTTTAAATTTGAGTAATTTCAAATTCCACAAACAAAACTGAAGAACAGCAATATTTTGTCTGAATTCTTTCTTCTGTACACTCAGTGATCTAAAACACCACAATATCCAACATACACACACCTCAGGGAAGGGTTAGTAAATACACACAGATTGGAATCATGGTGCTCTGTTCCTGAATGGAATGGTCCCACAGAAAGCACAGGATACAAGCACAACGTAAGGGCACCTGTTACATGTGAAGTGAGCAGAAACACACTAGCGTCTTCTATATGCGTCATGAGGAAACCTGCATAGGTTAGAGGGCCTTTTATGCTCATTTAAAAGTCAGGCAAGTTGTCTGTAATGCATTTTTCAAACAATTTGGAGAGCACTGCGATCCCATGGAGGATATGCTCGTTAGTGTTGTCTTTGTTGGCATTGACAGTCTTGCATGGTCATATACCAGTATTTTTGCTTTAGCTTGTCTTGGAATAAAAGATTTAAATGCATTTAGACAATACATACTGTAAGCTGTTTACATACACTAAATTTAAGAGATTCAATATTAGAGTTTTTTTTTTCTTTAAACACTACAGAGTGCAAATCAGGTTCTTCACAATAGATTGAGTATTAAGCAGTTCTTCAAAGAATGAGGGGGGAAGAAGAAAAGCCCAAGTGAATAAAACATTGAAACTATTCCCCTTTGAAAATAAATTCTAAAATGATACGGAATGTGAAATAAGCTTTTAACATAGGTGATCCGAGTTTATAGTTAGAAACAAAAAGTAGTCCTTCATGAAATAAAGGTTACAAGAACATGTGCCTGTTTTCCCCTGTTATAAACTGAGAAGCGGGTAGAGACGATGTTTCGGTACGAAAATAGGCGACTACAGGATCAGCGTTCCGTCTCACATGCTGTACCCAAAGCCAGGCTGTGGCTGCCCATAGGGTGGTGCAGTGTACCCATACCCAAACGGCGCCTGGGCAGGGACTGCAACGCTGGGTCCTGCTGTCAGCATCAACTGGGGCTGGCCTACAGAAGAGAAGAGGGGAGCGGGTGGGGGCGAGGAGGCGGAGAGACCGTTAGCACTGCAGGACGACCACACCCGACCCCCGACTCCAGCAGCATAACCACAACTCAGAATGAATTTCGGGGGGAGGCACTTCTGACTGACTGTCTCAATTTTAGCATGGCAGTCACCCTAGGAAGGGTCCTGCCTAAAAAGCCAACAAAAACCATGCAGGGCCAAGGGCCAGAGCTGTAAAAGTGATTATGTTACTTCAAATGTCATGTAAAGCAATATGCACATGCATGCTCAACATGCTTAGGCAAGACATCCAGCAATAAGCCTATCACTACCACATGGTGTTTGCACATTTTATCTGGTGACAATATAATTAGCACAGGAAAACAATTTTTTAAGCTACACGTTTAACACAACTGAACTTTTAAAGTTAAGATTTTAATTCTTGATTTAGACGTGTCTAAATGGTAACAAGACCAAGTATCCAGTACCAAAAAAAGAAAAAGTTGAGACATATTCAAATATGCATTAGGTGTGAAATACATTAGAGGATACAACCTCTTTCAAATACTAAGCTAACACTCATGAAGTTTAAACAGTTACTGTACAGAGGAACCAAACTGTGGAGAAACTAGCTAAATAGAAGAACATACCTAGCACCTCTCCCCACCTCCTGCAAAAGAAGTGATCTTAATCTCCCTCTCTAATGTAAATCCAGAGTAGTATTTCTCCCATAAGTGACCTAATGTCTCTCCTTTGGTGAATAAAAACCCAAACTGCCTTCAGTGAATAAACTCTTCAGGAACCAGCAGTTTGTTAAAAAACCATTTCTAACTTTGATACTGACATCTCCCTTGAAGTTTCAACCCCACTTTTTTTTCCTAAACAACATAAGCATTTTTTTCATTAAGCTTCTCAGTTTCTTTGTATCACAATGGAATAATGAGAAAACAAGAACAATAAGGAAAAACTGCATGAGTGTGCAAATCTCTAATAAAGAGCAGAGAACTTCAAGGCAATGGGAGGCAGGAGGGAGCTGCCTGACAAAGTGCCAGAGCCGTTCTCACATCATGCTTCTCCACAGCCAGCGGGCCAGGACCGGGGTGTGTGTGGGTACGTGGGGGTGGTACCGGGGGTGGAGTGCTGAGAAGGCGGCACTGTCAACAGCTGTCTTTAGCTCAACTCCATTTTCAACTGCTTACAAGGACTATCCATTTAAACACCCTCAAGGTAAGCCAAATTCAGTAGCTTCCCCCAGTTATTCCCCCCACCCTGCTTCTACCTTGTTTCTTATCACAAATATGTCAAACATCTTGTTCCCAACTCTAAGAATCTACTTTATGTTCTCCAACTTTATCAAAAGGACCCTGTCCTCTAAATTCCCAAAGTCCTTTTCATGTGAAGTAAAAACTGGAGATAATGCCACAAGAGATTTGTGTACTGTCATCTCCTTTAGCAGGTTGAGATACAGTAGTTGTAATTGTATACCTTCCTCCCAACACCACCTGGTTGAAGTGCTATAACCTACACCCTTCAAATTCACTACTCAAATCACTCTGTTCACCAAGAGAAACAGAAAGGAGAAGGATTTCAGAAAGGCACATGTAAGAAAACATTAAATTGCCTTAAATATTCAGAGAGTCTGAAGATCCTCTCTGGAAAATCTTCAAATGGAAACTACTCAGTTATCAGTTTCAGTCAGAATTTAAAGAGATGCACTCCTTCTGTAAAGCATACTTAAGATGACTATGGCATGTTCTCTCACCTTCCCCACTTGAAAATTGAGTTCACCAATAATTCTTTGTCAGTAACTCATGAATAGGCAATCAGTGATCAGGCAATAGATAAATCAGGTTCTGATCTCAAGTAACTGTTTTTTCAGATTATCTTTGCATTTAAAATTATCTTAGTGAATAACGTCAATGCCTGCTCTAAGGTTGTTTTCAGAAAAAACTGACAGTAGAGACTTATTCCTTAACTTACTGAGCCTTTGGCACTCTAGAATGAACTGTTTGTCTACTATATTTCTGAGGTTAAGCAGAGAAAGAGATTACCATAAACAATAGGTTGTGTCTCCGTAGCTTGTTCTTCCTCTTTTCTCAGTGATTCTGAAGCATCTAATTTATCCACCTAGAGAAAAACAGGTAATGGTAATTAGAACCTCAAAAGTATTATAAACCTAGGTTTATGGCAGAAAGTGGAAAAGCCTTAGTATGTTAAATTTTGTCAAAATAAAACAGACTAGAGTAGAAAGAACATTCTCAGGCCCCTTCAAATTCAATGGCAATGTTCATACTTCAGTCAAGGTGATTTTTAGCACTGTCATTATAAACCCTCAGGAAGGAGGGATTTATAAATGCCATAAAAGCTCACGCCAGGCTACAACTGGGCATGCTAGGATGCAGCCAGCCTGAGGGAGGGAGATAACCAGAAGGAACCACTTTCTCTGATGAAGTTTTAGCCCTATTAAAGATAACAATGAACTCATGACTGGGCAAGACTTCCTTCCCCAAAGGAAATGGTATTCAAAAAAGTGAAACAAATCTTGTGACTGGATAAGTACGTTTGCAGAACCAACTATCTTTTTTGCCAACTGTGCACAGCTTCTGTCAATACTAATTATGTGTGGGCTGAAGTTTAAGATTCAAGTGGCTCCATATTTAATCTTTTTTATATAAAGACAGGCTGCATGTGTTAATGCTCTGTTTTCTAAGTAACCAAGAATGTCTGATTTTCCCCCAACTTCTTTGAGAAAGAAATGTTTAGCTTTTAATTAAGCCCAAGAAGTAAATGACTGTTATATACTAGCTATTCTAAATAAAAGTGGATAGTATCAGACAGAAATAATACTCTAGAGGAGTCCAAACATATTAGTGAAAGAAAAGAGCTGGAATACATAGATCCTTCCCTAACTAGTTGTGTGACCTTGGCAAACGACTGCACTGACCCTCAAATTTCCTTGTCTATATAGTCAGTCAGCTAAATGAGCAAATCTACAAAGCTCCTTCTAGGATTAGCACAATTTGAATCTGGAATTCTGTGAAGGATTAAGGAGGATGGCAGCAGGACACAGACTAGGAAATCTCCACCATACCACTTCCACTTGCCTATTAAACTGTGCTGTATCTGTCTTTTAGACTATATAGTCTTGTCGTTGGTATATCATTACACTTGATGTGAAACTAAGCTTCAAATCTCAATGTTATCTATTACTAGAGGGTTTCAAAGTCCTAAGGGTGCTGAGATGGGGAGGCAAGAGTGCAGGATAGAACTTTTTTATGAGTGTTCACTGCATGTCCTTCAAAAAGGCAAATAGTGAAAAATCACTCACAAAAAAAAAAAGACATGCAGGGCTTCAGTGAAAAGGCTTTAAAGACTTGGTCCGGGAAAGGTTAAAGCAGCACCTAGTTTCTATTTGCAACTATTTAAAAAACACTGTTTCAATCCTACACAGGCCATTAAGGTTAGGACAGTATTTTACATGTATTTTAATTGTTTTATAGTGAGTATCTTAAATGTGGGTCTAATCCACCCTAATTTGTCACAGAGCAAAATGTGAGAAAAGTAATATGAGTCAGACTCTAGACACCTTCAGATAAAATGTGGTTTTTCTCCCTAGGAAGATGAGTTATTAGTTTGCTTCTGTATTTCATTTTTAAAATTTTATAACCTAAGGACTCATGTGTTAAAACTACCCCACTATCAAATGAAAGACTACTATGGAATGTAAGTACCACAAGAAACACTGTTTCGCACCCAAACTTAAAAACAAAAATCACTACAGCTCTCTAATTTAAAATACAATCTGTGACACCAAGGACAGTCAGATGGGGTTTTGCTAAGTATCCAAGAGTGAGCTAAAGACGTTATTTTTAAAAAGTACATGGATGAGTGTACATTAATAACTTCTAAGAAAAATCAAACAAAAAAACCCACTGCATAATACATTGCCAGACTTTCAAGGAAAAGATTCTAAAGTGAACATATGTTTAAAAGTTAATGTATGAGTCGGATGTTGAAGACAGAAGTATGTTAAAGATTCAGAAGAGCTCGCAATGTCTACTGCCCAGGCACAGACACAGGCAGGCTGGGCATACAGACACAACAAAAAGTAACAGCTGTGAAGGAGGAGCATGGAGCTAAGCAAAAATTGACTTTTCTATTTAATGGGACAGCCTCTGGCCCAGCAATAGCCAATTATTGTTTCCAATGACCCAATTTGGACTCCTCCAAACAGAAAAGCAAAGAAGGCTTTTATGAACACAAGCTTTTGTTAAGAGCTGTAACAAAAGTTTCTGATCCTTAGATTAAAAAAGAAAAATTACAGGTAAACATGTCACTGAGTTCAGTTCCATTTGTACTATTGAAAATTCACGATAATGTAAAAGGCTTTTCCACAAAGACTGCAATATGCTGCAGACGAAAAGTTTAACATGCAGTCAGTTATTTTGGTGTATGTGTGCATGAAAAAAGGCAAAAGTACTGAAGCAAGAAGTGAGATCTGAAGATGACTGTTGCTATACAGGCTTCTCAAGAAACACACACAGCCCACAGCAATGCTTTCAGAGTTTCAAAAGTAGTATGATGTAATTGCAATGACTGCTGTACATGCTTGATTTAAAACAACGCATAACACTGCAGTTCAATTACCTATTTTTCACACACACGCTTTCTAACTGCCTTGCTTACTAGCTGCTGAAGGGCCTCACACACAATGCATTTTACTCAGGTTTGCCCTAAGTTCCAATGGTGACTCCAGTTTGGTTCAACATAATTCCAAAGTACTGTCCCCCCTCCAAATTATTTTAAATTGCTTTAACTGTCCTTTACCTTCCCACCCTTTTCTCACCACAATTTGATACCAGACATAAGTTTATAAGTTTGTTTCATTTATACTGGGACAGCGACAAGCCAATGAAGGAAGCAGCAACCAAAAGGTGCCTAAATTTGACTTTGGACAAGCCAAAGGGATGAGTAACAGCAAATTTGTAGCTTCAGAGATGTACCTTATTATAGAAAGCAGAGGTTAAAATGGTTTCATATTTTACAGAAATAATCCATGTTGCTTAGCAACAATTGTAGCAAGCTAATCTGATGATTTACAAAGTTTTGATTCCTCTTGAAAATGAACTAGCACCATAAGAACTGGACACCTGGAGAAACATGAGGAAAGTCTCTTCGGAAGCAGCTAGTATCTCTTGTATCTACTTTCAGCAAAAAATTAGTAAGAATCAAGAGATCAGAAACTGGATCACAGTCCTTCAATACCCCCAAAAAAACAAAAAAACAAAAACACACACACCCCCCAAAAAGCCTTTTAGGGCATGTATATACATATTTAAATTCAACAACTGTCAGGCACGCTCACAAAATAATACCAGAGGCTGTTTAAAATTTGAGTATTGAGAAAAATCCTATTATGGTCCAGATACCCTGACAGGGAAGAGAAATTTCCTGAAACTTTGGAATTAATATGGAAACTCAACATGCTCAGTTTTTAATAATATATTTAAGAGAGACTGTGAACCAACTACTGATAAGCCTCCTGCCCTTCCTAAAGCCTATTAGCCGATTAGTAGCAAACATCTACTAATGTCCTAGAGCTCTATTATAGTTATATTTTAAGGGACTTGCAGAGGCTTTAGTGAAAATTTATTGGGGGGAAAAAGCAGAAGCAGCAGTGTAGAAAAGGAAGGAAAAAAAATCATGCAAATTCCTTAGACTTAGTCCTCCAGACTTAAAGATGGAAAAGAATCAACTTTCACCTTTTCCTTTATTGCATCAACCTGCAAAGGAATTCAGAAGGTGCAGCTTAGAAAAAAAATCAAATTCCATATTGAGCATAAAAAGGTAGAATCAGCAACAAAGGTTTAGGGGAGAAACATCTAACCACTAAAAAAAGGTATGAGAGAAGTGAAAATAAAGGGCATACTGGAAGCAAAACTCAGAATTCTTTTTTAACTTCAGAGCTTATTGCAGAAGAATTTATGCTAAAGTCAAGTGTGAAAGAAAGCAGCTTAATCGCTAGTAAAATTTACAGCACTTTGGTTAACAGCAGCTTAGAGCCAGGTCTCACAAGTTGGCATTATGCATAAAAGAAGCTATTCTCATCTGTGGCTAAGATAATAAGGCAACTTTCTTTTTCCTGTTACATTGGATTTAAGCAGTTTCTACAAAGAAAAATGTTAATTCTCAAAAAAACTGTAACTTAACACAATGATATCTAATTAGATGGTAGCCCAAGGAAATACTCAGTTATACTGGGGGTTGTTAGTAGTGCACCTCCTACCCCGACACCCGCCTTTAACTCAGACATGCTGAAAAGATCAGATGCGAAACTGACTTTAATAAGTATGTTTTGCTTTGACAAAATGGATCCTTTAGGACCATTTAAAAATGTTCCACAGCAGGACAGGGTAAAAACATCCTAACATCAAAAACAGATACTAAGAAGAATAAGTTAATTTTATAAGATGATTATACCCCCAGCTTGTTTAATGCACTTTTAGGAAATGTGTCATTAATTGTTAACCTCCTATAATATTTTTAATAAGGGGTTAAACTATCAAAATACTGAGAAGATTAACAGGACATTAAGAATACAGATGCAGCTTTCCCATGGGAAACAGGCATACATATTAAAGCCAAGAACCAACCAAAGAGAAGGGAATCTACACCATTAAGTAATGGTCATCTGAGTTATAAGAATTGATTTGAGGAAGACATTATTTGGACAAAAAATGTTTCTATCAAACGTTAAAAAAACAAAAACAAAAACCCATACAACATGGACATAATACTATCTGCCCTTCAGAAATACATTCTATGGTATTCTGAGTGTAAACATTCTGCCAAGATATGTCTGAGTTACCTTTCCATTCAATGTCACTTGTCAGGTATTAAAAATTACTGGAGAATAGGAATATTTTATGATCAATTAAATTAATTCTACTAGAGAAAACATTTGAAAACAAAAAATCTATACATGGAATTTTACATATCCTCAAGATAATTAGTTCTCAGAGGTGCCATTACCTTTGTCAAGTATTCCTTCATGACTTGGATGAAATAGGGCATGGCAAAATCCATGATATTGTGCCTCCACGCAGTTTCCAGGACAACATCTGGCCTTAAAAGATCATAACAAGTAAAGAGACACGCTCCAAAGCACTCTCTTTTTTCTTCCTGCAAAAACCACTGTAGGAGCTCTTCAGCCAATTCAGTATCTTTAGATTCAGAGGCATACTGCATTGCATCCTATTTAAAGGAAAGGAAGAAAGTCAAACATTAAATTCAAATATGATAAACTGGTAAACTAAACAACACAACAGGGGGAAAAAAAACTCTCAGTTATATCATTTAAATTAAGGATTTCCTGAAAGAAAAGGAAAAGACAGAGGAAAGCATTCTTTTTTTAACAGAGAGGTCTGACATAAGCATACAACAGTCTCCAACATTAACAAACTGACATAATTATCATCTCCTCAACTGGAAGCTGAAAGGCAATTTGCAAATAGTATTTGCAAAAACTAATACCTTTATAGACCATAATCACTTCTAATATGCCATCTTAGGACTCACACAGATCATCTAATACTTGGCTTAAAAGCCCCACCCCACCATCCTTCTTCACCTTGTACAGGCTATCCTTCTTGCACAGCTCTACACTCTGTTTCCAGCGATTATTGCCTTTGAAGAGGTAAGCAGCAATTCTTCTGAACTCAATGAGTTCATGCTTTTCCAAACGCTGAGCAAGTGAGATATTGTCAAAGTTGTCATAAGCATCTATTGATGTTCTCAGAGCCTTAAAAAATAAAACAAAGCCATTGAAATGCCAAACAAGTATTTCATTTTAGTTTAAATTTTATGTTCCATCACTCTTGATCAATGAGTCATTACTGTATATGACTGACTGCATGTAATGTGATCACTATCTTGCATGATAAATATGTTTAATACAACTTGATCAATCAGCCATTATTGTAATTAAGACAGCCTAAGATTCAAGAATCAAACCATAAAGTTGTACTATGAACAAGTATCAACATTCCTCAATCTAATTGTTAATAACAATAAGGTCCTTGAAGGCACTACAGAATTTCTAAGGGAACAATTTTCTCCAAGGTTTTCAGTGTCAAGGACTAACTTGAATGGTTATGAAACTGGAAAGATTTGTAATTTGGAGGGTTAGATTTTATGCCCTAGGGAAACTCCGGATACAATTCAACATGGTATTCAGTCATAGAGATCAGCATGGGATCTGCACCTGAAAGAAAACCATGTTGACAAAAAAAGAAAGAAAAGGCAATTTAGCTTAACCTTAACTTCTACGTTTTTGCAAAATTCTTCACAAAGGAAAGTTTACTAAAAGACAGGTACAGATAAGCTATTGGGCAAGAAAAACAAGGGAATGAAAGAGTTAATACCATATAAGGTTTATGAACTAGTTTAAGAGATCAAAGAGTTTTTCAACTCAATCTACAATATAGATGTTTACAGATGAAGTAACCATAGTATTTTTCTAAAGCATTAACTTGGACTCTGCAAACTTGGCATTTAATTAGGAGACATCAGATTTATTAATCCTGAAAACCTCACTAAATTTAGATCCAAGGCATACAAGTAAGTACCTACTGTTTACAGTCCTAAGGGATGATAGGCTTTTTTAACTGCAAAATATACCAACTTTACAATTATGAGAATTGTAAATTTTGAGAATACATGCAAGAACCAAAATGTTTTACCTGATAATCTTCTTCTGTAATAAAGAGGTTGTTCAGTGATTCATTCACAGATTTGTTGTTGTGGTTCTGAACTGAACGCAAATAGGGTTTCACCAGTGGTAGCTGTTTAACCTTTAAAATAAGGGTGTGAAAAAAATAAATAAATAAAATAAAATAAGGGTGTGTTACAAATGTAGTACATTGCTAACAGACAAAGTTATCCAAGAATGTCTTAGCTTCTTGCTAAGAATTTTTGAGGTTTTAAAAATTACCACCTTGCTGAAATAATTGACTGCACGAGTATGATCCAACCGTGGAGACAGCACCATCAGCAAATCATTTAACAACAGTGGCTTGAATTCTAAGTAGAACTGTATTGCTCTGTAGTATAGCTCCACATTGGCAACCTAAGACAGCAAAAATCCATACATGAGGTAGGGTTATTTCCACATGAGCTTCCTCCTTCTAAAGACTATCTTCTAAAGAAGGTAACACACCTTGGTAATGATGTCTTTGAACTGCCCTTCTTTCCATGCATCAGTCGGATGATTCATCATGGTAATTATGGCATTATCATATTCTTCATATTTGTCATACAAAAACACCAATTCTGCCCAAAGATGGGCTTGTTCTGCAGCTCTTAGCACCTGCACAAGGAAGATTTAATTGCTTTAGATACAGGTCTCTAATTCTAGTTAATAGCAAAAAATAAATTTTTTAATGAAAACTGAAATTTAGTTTTAGCTATAGAGTTGCCTTACAATGAAAGGTTAGTTACCTTAGGAATATTCACTCTGGACCAGAACAGCTCCAGGTGCTCCCTCATTTTCTGTGGCTTAAACTTAGAATACAGAATAGCTAATTCGGTGAACATCCCCATGTGAGCTCGCTCAAGTCCCAGTGCTGCTTCCAACATGGTTATCAGCTCTTCAAAATACCCACGATCCTAAATAAGAGAAAAATGCAATTAAAGATGAGAATATCAGTTGCAAAAGATCTCAGTTAACATAAAAGTTAACATAAAAGACTTCAGTGCACTACCTGATAGTAGTTGATAAGTTCCTCCAACTCGTCTGCATGTACTACAATATGAAGCCCACACATCTGAGCGAGACGGAACTCCTTCCCATCTACACAGGCAAAGCAGACCTACAATTTAAAAATTTTCAATTATGTGAACTCAAGTGTAACATGGCTGGTTAATTCAATTAATCAGTTTAAAGAATATTCCTAAATAGCATCTTAATTCATCCATCAAACTGTCATTTAGATTACCTCTTTCCATGTTCGAGTACTGTTGGCTTTCCTAGCTCCATCAACAGCTGCCTGATATTCACCCAGGTGAACCAGAGTAGATGCCAAGCGTCCAAAATTGGAAACATTATTGTACAACAACTTAGCAGCATCATACATTTTCTCATCATAACAACGGTCACCAACCTGAGAAAAAACACAAACCATTTTCAGTAAGCCGAAACTCAGTCTTCTTTCCAAAGTTAGGACTCAATTTATTATGAAGAAACATCTTCCCAGTAAGATTCTTCCTTAGTAACTTTCAGATGTCATGTGTTGATCCTAATATGCTAGTAAAGTTGCCCAACTATTTTTACACTCCTTAAAAAGAAAAAAATCTGAATGAGAAACTCACTTGCTGGATATGAGCATTATTTGGCCCATTGATGAACTCTTCCAACTCTGCTAGGCGGTTTGTTTTAGCCAGTGCAAAGATCAATTCTGTCTCCACATAGGACTCACGAGCCTTCTTGCGGGCCATCTGCAAGTACTTTACCAGCTCTTCCCAGTTTCCTAGGTACAGAAAAACAAATGAATAAATCCAAACACTAACATACCAACATCAATCTTCTTGTTCAAGTAAATGAGAACTGCTATTAATTTCCTTTTCAAAGAAACAGTAGAGAGAATAACAAATGTAAACCTTGAAAGGGATCAAAATAGTGAAACTTCTATTAATGACTCTGTATTATTACTGACCAAATGAAAAGCTGAATCCTTCTTCTCCTTAAAGTTATCAGATTAGAACTAGATCAGAATTTAACGAGACTTCAAAACAGAAAATTAAACTTCCCCATAGAGCTTTTAAGTTCACAAAACACAGCCTCTCTTTATCTGCACTAAGGAGGAGGGCAAACCACCAGACAGTCTCTAGCTCCAACACAATGCAGAACGGATGTAAAACTTAATGCTCAGCTTAGGCACATCTTCTGGCAAACACATAAAGGTGAGAAGTCATACCACTAGTATTGGCGGCCTGAACAACTTCCATGTACGATGAAGGATCATCTGCTTTGATGTAAGAATCGATGGCTTCTTTCACCATTCCTTTCTGCAACTGGGCTTTTGCGAGCTGACTCCAGACTGCCGGTTCATTGCAGCGCTCAGCAAACTCATATGCCCGATCCAAGTTTCCAATATGTTCGATTAAGACCTAGGCAACCAATTCTTCATCAGTTATAGAACAATGAATCTTACAACATAGCAATTACATTTAAACAGATAGGATTTTATTGCTCTTCTATTATCACAGCAATAAATTGCCCTTTCTCAGAGGACAATGCATATACTGAACCAAGAGAAGGCATTACACTTAGGAAATCAGCTCGGGTAATGTGAAGGTTTACCTGCACTGCTGAGGTATTGACATCAAATTTCCGGAAAATGGCAAATGCTTCTTCAAAGAGCTCATTGCTGATGGCGATGTTGGCAATATCTGGGGCATCATAATTATCCAAGCGGTTAATGTACTCCATAACACGGGTACGGTCAGCCTTGATTGCAGTGAGGATGAGGAGGTTTTGCAGGTTTCTTTAAGAAAGAAAGATTTGAATGCAGTATTTGAAAAGCTCATTAGTCATAACAAATAAACACTGTAGCTATTTAGTATTTGGTCTTAGGAGGGAGGGTCACAAGAGGGTATTAGAAGAGTGAGAATTAAGGCAACATTCTCTAACATTTGTCTTTGTTCCTTTCCCAAACTGACAGGCCATAATTAAAGACTGACTATAAAGAGCCAGGAAACCCCTCTCATAGCATACCTGTGTTCACTGAATACAGAGTTATCAAGGACAATTTTCTCCAGCAGTTCAATGAGTTCATTAGGAAGGTCTGCTGTCATAAAGGCCTTGACAGTTACTGACACTTCCTCCGGGTCCTGAGTTTCAGACAAGGCTGTCTGTACAACCTGCAGAGGATATACAAAGAATAAGCACTGAGAATCCAAGTGGTTTTGGTGATATTATCTAATAAATAAGCTGGCCTCTCAGTAGAAAATGAAACAGGTCGAGAAGAAGGAATGAGATAAAATACCTTTAATTTACCACCCAAAGATTCTTCTACGTAAGTCCACATATATCCGTAACGTGTACTTCCAATTTTTTTTTTTCTGGGGGGGGGGGGGCGAGGGGGAGAATCATCCTACTTGTATAATTTCTATCTTTTCCCTGACTAAAATTATCCCTAATAACTACTCCTCATTATCACTTTAATGGTCACATAAAGTTCAACCATATACATGTGGCATTGTATACTCAGTAATTCCTCTATTTATGGCTATTTGCATGGCTCCCAGATGCATCAATGAGTATTTGCTCTAAGAAGCTTTGTATCAATTTGGGATTTTTCCTTAGAAATGCTTCCTAGGAGAGGAATGAAAAATTAATATTCTTCAATTTACTCTTCCATATTTATACTTCTATTAATAATTTAAGAAATACTAACCTTCAATTTTTAAGGTTTTAAAAAATGTTTTCAAATTTTTATATAGTTATAAACTCAAATCTTGTTTGCTTACTATTGAGACTTACTTAACATTTATCTACTAGATCATTCACTAGTCTTTATCCTTTGCTGATTTACCATTCTCTTGAATGTTTCCAATCAATTTAGTTACTTCTCATTTATCTGTAACAGTAATTCTTACTAATTTTATTAAATGTCTAATTTACTGTTATCCTTTTAGCTATGATGAATTGAGGGAGTCTTAAGTAATTAAATTTTCTCCTCGGGGAAGTATTTTCTGGAGAAGATAGACTTCATTTTTGTTAACATTTTCATACATATATTTTAGTGTAATCTTTATTTTCTTCTATTTTTTACTGCCATCTCTCACAGTTAAATATGATCCATTTGAGTATATTTGGTATATGATGAGGGAAAACATTTTACTTATAGTTAAAAAGATGAGCCTTAAGTGCATTTGGAAATTTTACCTGATCAATGAGGGGTCTCCTGTAAGGATTGCTTTCCAGCAGCACACTACCCCACAATTCTGGGTCCTTCCGCCGTACCAGATAGCGAGAAAGACTTTTGAAGAGGGAATTCTCATTGCAGACCTAAATGAGAAATTAAAGATTAATTTCAAGGTAAACAATAAAAGCTTTCTATAGACTGACTTCAATTTTAAAAGGTTATATCCTATCATTGTATCCTATTTAGTGTTTTATACCGAAAAAAAAATCTACTACTTCTACATGTAATCTTTAATAAGTCACAACCATATTTTTTTATTAAAATTCAATTAACAGAAAAAAGTTATTAATTTTTGAAGGCTTTTAAAAAGCACCCTGATGTTGGATCTATATTTGGACTTTATATTTTACTCTATTGGCCTGTGTATTCATGCACCAGGATGCAGTTTTTAATTTTAGAGGTTTTGTAATGTACTTCAACATCTGGTAAGGGTAGTCCATCTTCAGAGCTTTCCTTCAATGTTTATTTTCCCATGTGTATATGCATACATATGTTCATACGTATATGAATTTGTATGTTCACAGATGCATTCTTTCCCAGCTCTGATCAATCAAAGACCCTAGAAGGAAATACACCCTAGAGCCTAGATCTGGGTTTCTAATGGCACTTCCCACTAAAGAAAATCAAAGTTCTTCAAAAAAATTAATGATACACGGCAGGGGAGCGTATAAAATGAGCATGGTATAACTTGCTGGGCCAGGAAACAAGATGTGCTCAAGAGCAATGAGATTATGACACAAAGCCATGAGAGGCAGGCTGATGGGATTTCTATCAGCCAAAACAGGGATAATTTGAAAATCAAAACCATGAATTATTAACCCACAGAACTCGTAAGTGCACGAAAATACATATGCTGACTGATAAATGTGGAGAAAGTGATGAAGTTGGAAAACTGTCATTTTGCAACCAACACATTAAGAATAGCTTACTTAGAATTAACAGATTCAAAATTGGGGGCAGGGACACACACAAAGAGGATACTCGCATGGTCTTAACTGTCTCTTCACAGACTATTTAATACATCTGTAAGGGGAAATCTATTTCTACAATGGAGAAGCTGACAACTTGATAAAAAGTGACCCCCAAAAGGAAGGACTAAAGGCCATCAGGTGCCTTTGCATGTTACAGCATAAGAAAAACATCACTTAAGTAATGCATTTTGGATGGAAACATACAATCTAAATCTAATCAGGAGGAATAGTAAGAGAAATTCCAAGCAAACAACATTCTATTTTTTAAGAGGTGTGCCACTGATAAGAAATAGACAGCGGGCAGTGTGAAAGCTGTCAGAGGCTGGAAGGAGGCGGGGCGTGTGGAGCAGCCGCTCAGTGAGTGCTGGCTTCCGCGTGGTGACGACGACACGGAGCGAGAGGGACTGCCCAACACTGAACTGTGCCAACTGCCACTGAGTTATTCACTTCCAAATGGCTAATGTCATGTGAGTTTTACTTTCAATTAAAAAGAGAAAAGACTATTTTTACGATTGTGCCTGTCAATAAAAGACAAAGACAGGCTGAAGAATTGTTTCAGGTTAAGAGACATGAAAGATATGACAGCTACAAGCAGTATGTAATTCTAGGCTAAAGGGAAAATTTTCTTTTAAAAGACTCTCAGGTCAATTGACAAAACCAGAATGAAACAGATTTTTAACAGTATTCTACTGGTGTCAGATTGACTGAGGTTGCTATCCATCATGTGGTCATGAAGGAAGAATACCCTTATTCCTAGGAAATATACACTGAAGGGTTACTAGGCCATGAGGTATGCAACTTATTCTCATAAGGTTAAAAGTTTAGAGTGCTTTTACATATACACATATATGTAAAAAATATATACGTGTGTGTACATATAAGTGTATGAGAACATAAGTGATAAAACCAGGGGGCGTAAATGTCAGTGGGTGAATATAAACTTAACCAACTAACTTGGCCAGTTTAAATTCATAATTATCAGCAAAGTTTTTTTTAAAAAAGCATGTATCCAAAAAAAAAAAAGCATGTTATCTTTCAAAAATGTGCCATATCACCTAAAACCACTCTGAAACTCTCAAAATTCACTAGTCTAACATTATATAACAGGTTTTAAAAATGCTATCTTCTCTATATGCATTCAGCCGGCAGTACTCACATTGATAAGCTCCAGATCACATTGGCCACGCTCGTAAGCAACACAGGCCAGATGCGGATCTCTCTTCTCACAATACTTTCCAACAACACGACTGTCATAGTAAGGATTTTCCCGAAGAAACCTCTCTGGATTGTTATTACTGTCTATGTAGATTTTGGCTAATGCATTGTGAGTAGCAGGCTCTTCACAGCCCTCATGAATTCTGGCCTCCAGCCAAGGCAGAAGCAGTTTCAATCTAGTAAAAAAAATAAAACAGGAAAAGAAACACACAAAAAACTCACATCTACACATACTATATTACAAATAGCACACTTTTGACATGCTATGTAAGTACCTTATGGTTTATAAAGTGCTTTCCCATACCCTATTTTGAATTCTCAACATTCCTAACAGAAAGTGGGAAATTAAGACTCAGAGATGGTTAAAAGGATTTGTCCAGCGTCACACAGAAGGTATATAAGACTGTCTTTCATACTCTCCCAGACCTATCTGCTACATTATCTAGACAGGATATAGAGAGAAGAGACTACAGATTCACAAGTTATTCTTTTTTATATGGGGCAAATGGCTGGACTTTTGAGTAATGTTGTTTAGGAGGAAGACAGAGATGTGGTATGAGAAAACAATCTGAGGTTCCTCTTAATTTTACCACAGTTAACACGTGACATTACGTATAGCCAAAAGAAGCAGTACCCTAAACACATACTGGGAACAAAATCTGGTAACTTTAGAAGCTCTAGTTTTAAAATTCTAGCAGTCATAAAACCAATCACTCCATGAAGGGCCACGGTTTTGCTAAGTTATAGCTTGTGTTCCAATGGTCCAAATGACCAACACTCTTCCCATGGTTTAAATAACATGTTAAAGAGTTACAAGAAATCCACGGAAAGAGGTGGCAGGCTATAGTCCATGGTGTCACAAAAGAGTTGGATACGACTTAGCAACTATACAACAATAATCACTTTAAATCAGTTTCAAGCTTTAAAAACATAAAAATCAGTATTATATTCTATATCTCCATTGTCCTTAAGTGCAGAATTTTTCAAACATTTTCTGAAACATTTAGATATAAATTCTGTGATTACCATTAGTAGAACACTTGTACCAAGCCAGGTTAAAATTAAACCCTATTCTTGAGATCGTTTCACTGCTAGAGGAACTTCCTACTTAACCTCATTACTTCCCACTAACCTCATTTACTACGTCAGCACTTTGTGAACACAAAATGTCCTGGCTAAAAAAAGACTTAATGATATAAGTATCAGAAGCACTCACACTATGTTCTGTTCTACTGGAAATTCCTAACTCATATTATCATATCAAGGTTCAACTTAAAAACAAGTTTAACCCAGAATTACACAGGGAATGCTTTTCTCTTGTCATACTTGATAATTTATCAGAGAGGAATTAGTTACTAGGTATCATACCTAAAAGGCTTTTTACATAGCTTACATTAAAAACACATAGCTATGTGGTTTGACTTAATGTAGTTATAAACATGCAAAAAGAAGGTGAAGGCTCATTACTAGAGAAATGCAAATCAAAACCATAGTGAGGCATTATCTCACGCTGGTCAGAATGGCCACCATCTAAAAGTCTACAAATAATAAATGCCGGAGAGGGTGTGGAGAAAAGGGAACCCTCTTACACTGCTGGTAGGAATGCAAACTGGTACAGCCACTATGGGTAACGGTGTGGAGATTGACCCAGCAATCCCACTTCTGGGCATGCACACCGAGGAAACCAGAACTGAGACACATGTGCTCCAATGTTCACTGCAGCACTGTTTACCGTAGCCAGGACATGGAAGCAACCTAGATGTCCACTGGCAGACGAACAGATGAGGAAGTTGTGGTACATATGCACAATGGAATATTATTCAGCTCTAAAAAAGAATTCATTTGAGCCAGTTCTAATGAGGTAGATGAAACTGGAGCCTATTATACAGTGAAGTAAGTCACAGAAAGAAACATCAATACAGTATATTAATGCATATATATGGAATTTAGAAAGACAGTACAGATGCTATATGCAAGGCAGCAAAAGAGACACAAGATGTAAAGAACAGACTTTTGGACTCTGTGGGAAAATGCAAGGGTGGGATGATTTGACAGAACAGTATTGAAACATGTATATTACCATATGTAAAATAGACGACCAGTGCAAGTTCAACGCATGAACCAGGGCACTCAAAGCTGGTGCTCTGGGACAAGCCAAAGGGATGAGGTGGGGAAGGGGTTGGGAGGGGGGTCAGGAAGGGGAGACGCATGTGCATCCATGGGTGAGTCATGTCGACATATGGCAAAGACCACAGTACTATACAGAAATTATCTTCCAATTAAAATTAATTAATAAAAAAGGTGAACAACTAGATTAACAGATATTCTATATGACAGCCATATAGAGCAAGTTACAGCTATCTTATCACTTCTAAATTAGGTATCTCTAGGGAATTAAGATCCATGAGTACTGAGTAGTTTTAGGCAACTAACAGGTTATACTTCTATTTAATACCATGCTAGGAGGGACTAATAATTTATCCTACTTGTGAAGATTAAAACAGTACTACACCTGTTTCTTTTTTCAACCTCAGCAACAAGCTCATCAGTAGAGAATTGACCTCTTACAACAAGAATCAAGTTTTTAATGACATCTTCAGAGCAATCAACATCAAGTAATCCCCCAATAACCACAGGAAGTCGACTTGGATTCACCTATGGTTTAAAAAAAGAATGTCATTATGTTACTAAGAAACAAAACTGAAGAGTTCTTACAAAAAAAAAAAAAAAGCAAAATGCAAAAAAACCGCATTTTCCTCTTCAACCTGTTTTAAAATTCAGTAATAAATGGGTTCTAAATTTGAAACCAGACAAAGGAATTTAGTAGGAAGTCTGCCTTGGTTACTCCTAAGGAGAAATAAGTCCAAAGAAGCGAAAGGAACAGAATGACTGAAAATATTATCTGGTAAAAAGACCTCCATCATAGCAAAACTGACCTTCTATTTCTGGAGTTAGAATGCTAAGTTTCTAATACCTTTATTTAAGATGGTTTTAATAATGTGATTTGGAGCCTATGGCCTCGACATGGATACCTCAGGGACTATCAGATAAGTAGGGCGTAGGCCACTCAAGTTTTCAACTACTGTAGTTCTGTTCTGTTTTACATACTTGGAATGCATGTAAAATTTTAATTCAAGAAAGGATTCCGCTGAGGAAAAAAAATTTGAAAGCCACTGCAGCACACCACTCTTACTGCACACAGGGTTTCAAAAGGATGAAGATGTCCAGTGTGAGAAGTAAAATCTGTAAGATTATATTTTCAAGTTATCTAAGTTTTACTTACCTTCTGTACATATATCTCTATATACTTCTGAAGATTATTTCTATATAAATAGAGCACCAAATCATGGACAAAGTCAAATCGATCACACACAATGATAAGTGGTAACTGATCTGTTAGCTTCGCTTCCTGGGGGGAGAAAAAAGAAACCTTAATTTTCTTCTTCTGTGAGGTTATCAGTGTAAAATGAGAATAGGTTCCACACTTGTGGGAAAGGCTCACATAAACTTGATTCTTCTTCTAAAGAAAGAAATGTCCCAATAGTTGGAGAGCGTCCAACTCAGTTTCCATAAATATTTATGAAGTAATATCCAGAGTCACAGCAAAATACCAGGTCCTTCCCATATATACCCTTTACAACAAAGGAGTAATAAGATTTATAAGCCTCCAGTGGCACTCAGGATATAAAATCATCACACCAGGAATTTCATTAATAGTAACAACTGAATTTGTAGTTGCTTTAAGAGCTAGATTCACATTGTCAAAATTAGGCATATATGGCCCACATTTGTTGCACACTGATGACTTTTTAGAAAACCCCTCCCCATTCCAATCTATATGGCCAGCTTCTAATACTGTTATAATAAATCCTACAAGGAGCAGCATGATGGTGACTGCCATGAATTTAAATACACCACATGTTGCTATTTAAAAAAACAAAAATAAAAAAAAGGTTTACAAAATAAAAAGCATTTAAATCATCTTTAAATTGCTAACTGCTTTTACCATTACAAATACCAAGCTATAATCCTACTTACAGACTGACACAGATGTTATAGACAGGTAGGTTAACACCTGTACTGGGCATTTACCTGATACATGTCCTGTTACATTCCATAGACATTAGGTACAGCACAAAAAACAACAGGTTCCATCAGGAATTCATTTACACACAGTGAAACATTTCTCAATAAATGATTCCTCTATGACAGTCTACTAAAGGAGAACTAAGCAGGACAGGACTTTCCTCAATGACAGCCACTAAGAACATTATTTGCAAGATTAGAATAAAATTCCTAAGTCGAGCACATATAAGCCACCCAATTATAAATAATTTGAAGATTGGTCTACAAAGTGTTCGGGGAATACTAAACCTTGGAGTTGTAAGAAATCCTGTAAAATAGTAATGAAAAAATCAAAATGGCTGTAAATCTGAAGTTGAAGTCCAGCTGCAGATTTTTTACATCAAGGAAAGTCCTTTAGCACCATGGAAACTCTATACTAACAGCTGCTACAATCATTTCTAAAAAGAGTGTTTGATCTACCTATGCAGAAGATTTTTTAATAGGGTAGGTTTCTCCTACAAAACAAACATCAACACACTAATCATTATCTTGTTTACTATACATATAAAGTATTACCTACAGTATTTTACCACTTAGGGAGAAAACATACTTGGCAAGTAATCCAAGATTACTTAGGTATTCTAGTCTCATGCATGAATGTTTAAGATTTCTGCTGCGAAAGATAACTTATTTGTATTGGCAAAGAAAATTTTAATTTGAAAAAAGTAGAAAAACTGGGATACATTCTCAATTGCCTAAATTTGCATATGATTTCATATATAAAAATAATGCTATTAACATTTTAAAATTTTACTTAAAGGTTGCTCCTTAGATACTATGATTAGGATGTTAGGATCAAAATGGCAACTATATAAACAAATTCAGGTTTCCTTAAGCACAAAGTTTGGAGATACATAAGGGTCAAAGTAAACATTCCCCAGAGAGACGTACATTCTGGTGGGAAGAGACAATGTTAAGTGTTGTGATGAAGAAGAGAACAAGATAAGGGGGTAGTGAGGAGGGACAGGTTTTATTTTAGATAGAAGGAGGGTAATCTGAGACATCCTTCCTCGTGACATTTGGTTAGAAATCTCTAAGAAGGTACAAAAGCAGGTCAGGAAGGTCTGGGAGGAAAATGGGAAAGGGCAAGCAAAGGCCCTGGGACAGGAGAGGTTTTGGGGAGTTACAGGAATAGCAAGCAGGCCAGTGAGGTTGAAACAAAACCACGAAAAGAAAAAAAATGGAAAATAAGATCAAAAATAGCAAGAGGCAAGGGTCTGAAGAACAGTTTTATGTTTTCTATGCGAGATGAGAGTTCCACAAGTTTAGGGCATGAGCCAAATAACGCTAATGACAGAATTTCATCCTGCTTACAGGCTACTGCAAAGGAGAGTTCATATTCTATCACTCTTTGTTCTCCTGGTGGCTAGCATATAACTGGCACTTGTCTAATGTTCAAGATTAGATTCAGAGAAGTATTTTTATTATCACAGTTTACATACAACACCAGTCAATTATTATACAACTAGTACCTCCAAAATGAAGCTGAATACCAGTGATGATGAAATGTAGCATGTAGCTACAAACAGCAGATCAATAAGGAAAGTGAGTAAATGGTCCAGTATGTTCATTCTCATGGGGCTGAATATCCAACAGTAGCATCTTAGCACTGAACTCCCATCTCCGATTATTAAATAAGAGATTAGGTTTTTCCTCTAACTTGGGCAGGAATTAAAATTCCTTCAAGTCAGGAATAACTTAAAACCAAAAAGAAACAAAACTTGCCTGCTAGAAAGGTTGATAATACCTTATTTTCAAGGCCACCAACACAGCTTATTAACCACAGTTATCACTTGAACACCTGTGGCATACCAGGTACCTGACAAACACAGCTTGTGGCTGGGGAAACCAAGGCTGAGACACCTTCGTTAATTTGCCTGAGGTAAGAGCTGGACATTACTGAAGGGATAAACAGCTCATTATAGAAAGAAGAGAATTTGAACCAGGTCTGACTGATTCCAAAGCCCGTAACTCACACCTACTCTCCTCTATTAGATTTGCACACAATTCACAAGCATGGAGGGAGGATTCCTCATCTAATTAGATCTCGTGGGCTAAGCAAGGTAAGACAGCCACATCCTAGTTTCAAGAGTTTTTCTTTGAAGGTCAAGATCATAATTAGGTGAAAATAGTTAACTTAGTCCTGCTTTACATATATATGATAACTCAAATATTACAACTCAATGCTAAAGAAATTACAATAGAAGCATAAAAACTGAGAGCTTAATAAAAACAAAATCATTAAGATCTGGTAGTACTTTTTAAAAAAGGATATAGTATTGATACTCAAGAGGAACTGACAGGTACTATAGGTACACTAGGTCAAGCACAGAGTATCAAATCTTTCTCATTTGGATGTTTTTTTCTGACACCAGGAAGTCTTGGGTTCACACATATCATACTAGCCAGGTTCTTCAGAATATTCATGATGGCCTAGACATTATACTTTTGGGGGAATGTTTATCTTTTAATCTAAAATATAAGGCAACTTCAGCATTTTACATCATTACACTAAAACTCCTAAGGGTTTAGCTATTTAATCTAGGTAGTAAGTTCTTCAAAAGAAGAATCAGTTAATACAACTACAGATTATCTAAAAATGATCACTGTAGGACTACGAAAAGCCTACTTTTCCCTACTAACTTACACAATGAATATTCTGGTTTTAGTCTCAATCTAAAATTCTTCCAAAAGAAAAAATACTTAACAACTTTATATACAATCTTTGAACTCATTTAACATATTCTTAATGTAAGTATAAAGGTGATGCTTTTGAACTGTGGTGTTGGAGAAGGCTCTTGAGAGTCCCTTGGACTGCAAGGAGGTCAAACCAGTCCATCCTAAAGGAAATCAGTCCTGAATATTTATTGGAAGGACTGATGCTGAAGCTGAAGCTCCAATACTTTGGCCACCTGATGCGAAGAGCTGACTCACTGGAAAAGACCCTGATGGTGGGAAAGATTGAAGGCAGGAGGAGAAGGGGACAACAGAGGGTAAGATGGTTGGATGGCATCACCAACTCCATGGACATGAGTTTGAGCAAGCTCCGGGAGTTGGTAATGCACAGGGAAGCCTGGTGTGCTGCAGTCCATAGAGCTGCAAAGAGTCAGACATGATTGAGCAACTGAACTGAACTGAAAGTATATAAATATATGTATTGGGGGGATCTGAATGTTCTGTAATTTCCTAATTTTTATAAATGACTGCCAACGTTAAAGTCTTATTTTCCCCACAAAGTAATTAATAGGTATGACAAAGCTAAACATTAAATAAAATAAACTGCCCTTAGGTATGCCTTAAAGACCTAAGAATCTTTAAACTATTATTCTTCACACCAACACAAGCAGTTCTACTTCTCCATAACCAAATTTGTGTGTCACAAAGCTGTAGTTTTTCTGTTTGACTGTGCCTTCAATTTATAAATTGTGCATGATTAACATTTAATTTCTAGAATTGGGCTAATTGATGACAGAGAAAAACCTATTTCCTTTACACAGTGGAACCCTTTGCATACACAGGCCCCTTAAAAGAACACTGAGGGCAAGCTGACGTTAATATTCAAAAAGTGCCTAAATGATATTCTAAAATAACACTGAGTGTCTCCAATCACTTAACAAAAATTTTCTTCTAAAATTAAAGTGAAAGAAAGGAAATTCCTTAAAGATAGTGATTTTTTTCTCTTCACTTAAACAGATGGTCATTCTTAAATATTACTTACCAATTTCCTTCCTTATTTCAAAGGAAACCACAGAGTATGAAATTTGGAAGAAATCATTCAGTACACAATTTTGAGATTCTAAGAATTTCACTTTTAGGAAAAAAAATTTTTTTAACTATGCGCAAACCCTTGCAGGACTGCTGATCTTCAAACCAACTAGAAAATGCACTACTCAAAACCACTTACCTTGAGAAAATTCTTGACTCGCTCAGGATCATAGCAGTTGCTTTCTCTGCAGATTCTTTCTACTTCTTTGATCTGCCCAGTCTTGCAAGCTGCCTGAATATATTTAAAGTGCACATCTGGGTCTTGACTAAAGTTAACAATGGATCCCAAAAAATAAAAAAGACCTTAAAAAAAATAATTGACATTAAGCACAGGTGTACTTTTGAGAACAGATCTGAAAAAATACTTAAGCAATTAAAAAATATTATGTCAATTATACCAAAATTTAAAAAACAAGCAAACAAAACACTGTTATACTGAACACTCCACCCCCAAATAAAATCTAGTTGCTGAAAAAGCTCAATATTAAATAATCCACTAATCAGTTCAATAAACGGATTTATACCCTACAGAACAGAAAATTCAATGTTTTCTACTAATGGTAGTTGAGAAATAGGAGACAGCTACTTAATATCAAAACTAATTATCACAGCATATTCCAGATGAGAAATTTTGAATAAAGTCCACTACTGCAGGTGCTTTTACATATGCAGCTAATAGAAAACACACAAAAGTAGCTTAAAAAGAATTTAATGCAGTGCTGTCCAACAGTATTTTCTGCAGTGATGCAAATACTCTATTAAGACCAGCACTATTTAACATAGCAGCCACTAACCAGATGTGGCTACTGAGCACCTGAAACGTTGCTAGTGTGACTGAAGAACTTAAGTTTTAATTGCATTCAATTTTAATACTTTTATTTACACAGCTACATGCGGCTGGTGGCTATGTACTGAATGAACAGTATAAATGTAGCACACAGTTAACATACAAGAACTGAAAAAATTAAGAAAATTATGTAGAACTCTCTTATCCCTTCTGTCTAGAGTAGTCCTACAAAAAGAGGGAGGAAAAGTTAAGCAGAGACCAGATGTTTAGCTAATGAACCTAAAAGCCACTGACAGTGATCACATCAGTACTCAGTACAACAGTGGATCTCAACTGTGGACGAAATGGTTTTCTTCCCAGGAGACATTTTCAGTGGTCACAACTGGTGGAGCTGATGCTTCTGGCATTTACTGAACTGAAGCCAGCAATTCTGCCAAATATCCTGCAGGCATACAACAATTTACCCTCCAACTCAACAAATTATCCAGCCCAAAACGTCTATAGCATGGAGACTGAGAAAACCTGCTACAGGGACAAGTCACAAAATTTCCTCGGCTGGAATCATTTGCCATGACAAGAGTCAGACAATATAAATATGATCATTATATACCCGATCATTAGTATTTCCATCTTATTCAAATATGCCAAAGCTACTACATATATTTGTAGTTAAGATTCTGCCTTTAATTGACCTATAATATACCCATGCAGACAGTCTTATTCACTTCATGACCCTAGAATCTGACACAGACGATGCCTGACTATATTTATTGACAATAAAACTTAAAATATTCCATCAAAATAAACTTGTAGAAAGAATTTCCAATAGCCTATGACCATTAATAAACTATGACCTATAGCCCTTTTGGCTACCTTAAGTTATTTTAAATGACTCGAACTTTTAATTACCTTCAAAACTCTTGAAAGATTCAAAAAGTTCAATCAGAGACTGAGTGGACAGTTGTTCGTGATACTTAGAAGCCACTTGTACACAGATCTGTAGATTCTGACGAATATTGGCAGACAGCATGGCCCTGAGACATTCCAGGGAGTCTTCCACTGATAAGGACCCAAAGTAATTCACTAACCACTGGAGGACAAAATAAATAAGTAAATGAAATAATATTAAATCTAATGGTGGTATAAAATTACTATCATTCACAAACATACACAAACACATTTTCGGTATACCAATTAATGGTAACTAATAGGTAATGACACTGAAATACCTCAGGGTTAAGAAGATGGGTGTGAACGACCGCACGCTTGATATCATACAAGTCAGTGAAGTGTTCTAACGCGCGCTGCAGGAGGCCAGCCTTTTCACACAGCTGAGCGATATGAGCCCGGTCATAATGCGTGAACATCTGATTGCCTAGAATAGCATCTGCAACCTAGAAAACCATAATAGGATGAGTTTATCTTACCACTCCACCTATATCAGTAACTCCATATCCAAATTACACCTTAAGATACAATATTGGACTGATAAAGGAGAGAAAGTTATAAAGAGCATTTTAGCCAAATTTTCTAAAATCAGGAATGGGCATCCCAGTAGCTTCAAATAACATAATCTAACAAGCTCTGAATAACAGCTATAGAAAAACAGTTGACGGAAACATGCTATAAAATGCATGAAAACACATACCTGAGGTGCATGCATAAGGTTCATCTCAAGCAACCTCGTCTGTAAAGGACCTTCAGATGGGCGATTATTCTTCAGCGCATCAAGCAAGAATGCAGTACACTGCTGAATTAGATTGTATTCCATAAACACATCGACAATCTGGAAAAAAAGATGTAAGGCAAACTGTTTTAAGATACTTAAACACTACTTTATGATACTGTTGACAATATAAGTAAGTGAAAGGAAATTAAACATTATCTCTTTCTTCATATTTAAAACACTACCAGATCAAATCCCAGATTTAAAGAATATTATTTAGATAACATAACCTCATAATTTAACAAGAAGCTTTATCTTCCACAGTTACTTTAGCTAGTAAAAATAACCATAAAATATTTCAAGATACTATATAGTAGCAGAATATAAACTGCAAGATTTAAAATTTTGATGATTGATTGACTGATGCACACGTGCATGCCACACCACACGGCATGCCGGACTTTAGTTCCCTGACCAGGGACTGAATCTGTACCCGATGCAGTGGAAGCATGACTCCTAACCACTGGACCACCAGGGAAGTCCCTGATGAACTGTTTAAAATACACAAAAGCATAAAAATGAAAGAGTCCTTGATTCCCACTTCATATATGCATTTTCTCTCTCCCTTCACCAAGTGGCACAGACTAGCCTTTGTGTTTTATTATACCTATATTTTTCACATTTTTAATACATATATCACTCTAAATGAGGTGGGATTTGTTTTGCATGTTTTAAAGCTATATATATAGATGGCATCTTACTGTCCATTCTTCTACAATTTGCTTTTCTTGGGTAACATAGTTGAAATTTATCCATGTAGATAAATAAACATAGCTCTAATTTCTACAAATAAAAAAGTTAACCTGTTCTTCTCCAGGTTGTTTAAACTCAGATTCCCCTCCCCCCCACCGCCCATTCTCTACATAAATTAACTTCTTTTAAATTGTTTACCTGGGTGATATCAGCAAGAGGTTCTTCATCCTGAACTAACATTTGAGCAAACTGCTGCCCCTGATCTGGACTGATACGCATAACATTTCTCAGTAGAAAGATCCAGTCTGGAGTATATCCAACCTAAAAACAGACAAAAATGTAAGCCCTGCTGCAGAGTTCCATTTTTATATTATTTAAAGGCTTTTTTGCAACTATACTCCAATAATGAATTTTAAAAGACAGAAGAAATCACAAAACAAAAACAAACCAAAAGCAGTGGGTACCGCCCCCTGCCCCCACAGGAAATAAATGCTTCTTCTATAGAATCTTCTTACTACAGAACTACTGGTGAAAATACAAATTCAGTTTTAACAGATGCTCAATTCAATTTGATCTTGGTTTATATAAGACAATTTGATCTTGGTGATAATATATTTGAACAAATAGCTATAAATTTTTACAATCAGCTTATTCAGTCTCATTGAACATGAAAAAACTAGCTCTAATAGGTTAAACATGCCCTAGCAGTTTAAATTCTAAATGCCATGCAAGAGTAAATGTCTCCATTTTTGAAAAGTCATTCTGTAAATGAGAACCATAGTAGTACTTTATACCTTCCCAAGTAATCATAAAAATTTAAGGAAGTTTACTACTAAAACTGAGAGTGACTATAGGATAATTTCTCTCTAATGTTTTAATGAATTTATGTTCAGAATTTGTTTCATTGAACTCACTTTTTTAGCATATAAAACAATCTTCTGGACTTGACCTGTTTCTGCAAAGCACTGAATGACTTTATTCGGAACGTTAGCCCTTAAGTACACACTAAGTGCCAATGTAGGGTCCACAGACTTCACCAGGTCTCCTAGTTCTTCGGAACATTCCAGCTGTCCAAAGGGAAAAGAGACTGCTTAGTAATCCATGAGCTACCTTTATATAAATAAGCAGTTGTTACTACTTCCCCTATAAATAAGAACTAATATGACAGGCATTTAGTTACCCAGTTGTCCCAAAATGTATTATAAATATGCAGGAGTTATGGTTATAAAGACTCCTGATTTTGAATTCAGAGCAGAGTCTCAGTAGAATTCTCCACACATTCTACATTCTACTTAAGGATAAAAACCCACCAAGACTTCACATGTACAGATTCTACCAACTATTTTGTTAGGCGTATAAATATTTAAGAAGCAGAATCTTGTACTTCTCACTATTAAGAATATTCAGGTATCAGTGCCAGATGGTCTCAATTTTACAAGAATAATCCAGCTCCTAATGTAATGCTATCAAATGAAAATCTGATATTCAAAAAGCCAGCTGAGGTTTACCATAAAGACCACTTAAAAATTAGGGAATAATCTGTAGGACCTAAGGCTTCATTATCTTCTTGACTTTTGGATTTGAAGTTGTAAAGCAGGACACTAATTTCACAAGGTCAAGCAGATAAAAATTTTAGAATTTTAAGGTGCTATACATGCAGACACACTCCTCTGTGCCATTCAATCTGCCTAAGCTGCTCAATCTGGAAAACCGCTTCTCTAAAGGAGCTTTGCTTTACACACTAGAGTTGACTTTCCATTTTATGAGTATGTCAAAAGAATAGCGCTTATCATTGATATTCAATAATGAGACATTCTATCAGTCTATACCCTCTCAACTGAACACACTAATGATAGAGTTGACCAGTGGTCCTTTTTACCACAAATGAATCCTACATGACCATTCACCAAAATAGGTAATGATACCCAAAAAGCTCTTACATTGTTATACTGGTCAACTCAGTTACCTTGGCTGTTCTCATCCTCCCTTATCTTAAAACAATTAGGACGGACCTCAAGTACTATGTGGCTAGTAACCAGTCTTCAGCAGACTCCTGTCCAAGCATCCCAACTCTGAAGTTCTATCCTCCATTATCCTCTAAGACTGACAGAAGCTGGGTCAAGAAACAAGGACTTAGCATTGGTAATGTAGAAATACTACCAACATACACTAAAGCTGAAAGGTGTAACATTAAGTTATTCACAACCCAGAGTGCTATAAAATAGTACCACCTCAGTTCTTGACACTGACCTAAGACATGACAATTCAATATTGCCACTTTGTGGAGAAAGGCTTTCTACACTGGTATGAAAGCAATAATATCATTAATGGGTTGTTTAAACTCATTAGTTGTCTTACAAATAGGTGACATTTTCCATACTATACACTAGAAAATATAATACTATTAGATGCTCTATGTGAAAAGAAACTCGTAACTACTGAGCAAATATAAAATGGATACAGAAATCCCACAGTAAAGAAAGCTGGTTAACAACAGTTTTCAAATATTCATATTTAAATAACTTCAAGAAACTAATAAGTTAAATATTTTTTCATGTAACGCCAGTTAACATTCTGTGAAATCACTTTGGGAATCTATATCACTGCTGATCAGACAGTCCTGCTGTCTTGTTAACCAATTCAACTTTGTATATAACATATTTTCCTTGCACACCTAAACCGGTTACTGGCATTTGATACCACAATTTTGTAACTTGGGAAGTTCTAAAAGAAAAGATACAATGTTGTATGGCTGAAACTACTGGGAATCCCAAGTGTGGGATGTGGGAAACAGGAATACATTCTTAGGTCCTCATGAGTTTATACATGTTGACAAATATGAACATGCAGTGTCTCATGCTAAGCTTAACGACCAAGCAAGTAATCCTGGATTCCCTTTTAAAATAAAGACATGCTACCCTCAAACATGCCACAAAAATAAACCATTTTCAAAAGAAAACATGTCTATGAATCTCATGCAGTGTCTAATCTTTCACCATTCCTACAAACAATGAATCATGGATGGAGATGTTCTGGCACAGCTTGTGTGTTTTTGTTTTGTTTTTTTCCAGCCTGTGTTTTTAACTTGCTTACATGGTATTTAATCAAAGTGAAAATATGTTAATGTAAGTTAATATACCTTATCTTCTTTTAACCACTTCTCCAAAAGCTGTTTCCGCCCCTGCTGAAGTACAGGCCTACACAATTCTAAGGATTCATATTTATTTAGCTGACCCTGGTCCAAAAGGATTCCAAAGTACTGAAGTAGGGGTGAAGTTTGACCTGGCTGAGCTGGAACACTCTGGAACCGACGGATGGTGTCTGGGGTACGAAGAATTCCCTTTAAGAAACAGAAATGTTAAGGACTCCTTTTAAAGATGATTCAGTATCACACTAATAACTCCATGGATCTGTTAAGTCAATTTTAAAGGCATGATTCCATCTACTGAAACCAAATCTCAACTTTTCAACATGTTGAATGGTAAAGATTCAGGCAATGTCTGTCTGTCACACTTCTCGTTCAATGTTATGATTATTCTGAATCAGAAACATACCAACCTAATCATAATGCTAGTGTGTAAGAGGACAGTTACAACTAACTATTATTCCAGGTTCACATTAGGTTAAGTAAAAATTTCATTACCAGTCAGGGAGTAAGGTATTAATTCAGTCCAACAGAACACAAAAATTATGAGGATAAATTCAGGTCAAGTTCAGACAACTCTTCATACCATGAATTGAACAAGATCTGTTTAATCTTTAGGATATAAAATCAGTAGCTATCATAAGATCCAACCAAGTAAACATTATTACATCTATGTAAATCAGAGCCTGTTAGATCTACACATCATTCTAACAGTCTGTTTTAAAAAGTTAACCAAATCTAGAGCATAGAAAAGTAACTAAATCTAGAAGTAACTCATTCTACAAGAAAACATATCCTTAAAAAAGTCTCATTTCTCTGTGGGAAGCTGGTTCCACTTGTACCAGTATTAGAAATAGAGCACACTGGCATCAATCCAAACATGGCAATTTTCATTTTCATAACTACTTACCTTTGGTGCATTAGCAGCCACCTTTGCTGCCTCTGAGTAATTTCCCTGGGCAAAAAGAGCATTAAATTTCCGGGCAAAGAGTTCTTCAGCACCAGCTAAGTTGTTACGTACAGCCATTCTCAGAGCCAAATCAGGATTTTGTAGGACATTGGTGATATAAGGGATTATGTTTTCTTCTTCCACACATACTGAGAGAACCTGCAATTTAAGATCTAATGAACAGCTGCGATGTGTTCACGTGAGCATCAGATACTAAATATGTTTAATGCTGATGACTTCTGAGTGACAAATAAAACTGTGACGGCTGCTTTCTTGCTGATGCAAAAAAAAAAAAAGAGGGCAGAAAAGAGAAGACTACGGGGTGCTGCTAAACCAATTGGGGGTTCCTAAAATAGAGATGTCCTGTAATATAAACAACTCCCTATCTCATACAGTCCAAACTCTAATTGCTTTGCTCCCATCCATTCTTAACATGGCATGTGCTCACCTGGAAGAAGTTGAAGATACATTCCTCTTAACTCTGACTTTTCAGTAATTTTAATTACATTTACATTCCCAGAGTTCAGATTATATACTCAAAGAGGGAAAGGACACTGAATCTACACACACCTTATATACTGCAAGGTATACAGTAGATGCTTAATAAATGCGGCACCAGCAAAGAGCAACTTCTAATTGCTTCTTTTTGAAGAACAATTAATTACCTACCCTCAGTCCCCCTAGTAAGTCACTGTCACAGAATGCCAATCTATTTGCTTAAAAGCTGAATTCCTGTCAATTGCCAAAGAGAAAAGGAGTCCTTCATCATGCATCCATTCCTCTCCCCAACACCAGATCTGGGTATACACCCCAGCTTATAAACTACTTCTATTCCCCATAATGACCAGTTCTCATACCATTATTTCTCATTTGAGTGTGCCTCAGTCACTATTCCACGTAAAGAAAGGAACTATCTTTGTCTTTCATCGTGTTTTTAGCACCAGGGAGTGCTGAACACAAAGGAAATGCTTAATGTTTGTTAAATAAATGAGAACTCAATAACCAAACAAGTAATATCTATTTGCCTGCTCTATTACTCCCTTTGAGGAAAATGAAATTTTAACCTCCAAAAGTCTTTCATTTCTACAGATCTGACCCCCATCTTCCAAAGCTTAGGTCATTCTATATCTGCAATGTGACACTCTACCCCATATTAAGACATCTTTTTTTAAAAGGAAGAATTCTTTCTTTAGAGTTATTTACATTTTCATCTTTAATACTACTTCCTAGGAAAAATAATGAAGATGAACAAACCCACTTCTAACTGTACTTTCTATAGCCTTCCCCAAATGCCAAATCCATAGTTTTATCTTTATCCCATTTTTAGATTGTATTAGCAGAGTTCTAGAAACCAGTACTTAAGACGTACAGGGGGAAAAAAAGGTTCTTGTATCTTCTAAAGTATTCAGTTCTACCAAGTTCAGACTATCATCTTGATCACTTTTAATTTTGCAACCCACAGAAATCATACTCATTCCTTCAAGACATTGGGTTGGGTCCAGCTATAGTTGGCTCTGATCAAAAGAGTAAAGCCCTGAGCCCTATAAGTTACTGTGAACATTCATCTTATTCAAACCAGCTGGCAAAGAAAAATTGTGGAGAGAAGGGAAGGGAAATAATCAATAATCAAAGTTATGAATATTAAATATATAATGGTAAATTTTCCAGGATATTTTAGCTAAAACAATTATCTCTGGCTTAACAACTTTATGATTATAAAATTATCAGTAATCTAGTTCACCAAAAGACACATTCATTCCCGATTTTTCCAAGAGAGGCACATGCAACTCAATAAATGAATGCTACTGAATTTTTAAAGTAGCTTTTGTGCCAGACACTGACTAGTGCAGAAATACAATTAAACAAAGAAAAGCCCCGTTCCTAAGGAAGAACAGCGACGAAGCAGTTAAGCCAGCAACTGTAACTCCCTGTGCTAAGTGCCACAGGGAGGGCTCCCTAAGGTCTAGGGACATAAAGCAGAAGCACCTAACCAGGTGTGGAACTGATGGAGAGGGTGGATAAGTAGGAGAGACTCCCTTTCTCTACAGTACTTCTTCAGATACATACTATTATGTTCTGAAAATTAATAGAATAAAGGAGAAAGAAAAAAAGACACCTATTTGCTTTCATTTACCATTGAGGAAAAACACTAATTTGGAGGAAAACAAACAAAAGGAAAAGTCAGTAACATTTAACCATTTTTTTTAGGGAAAAAGATACTTCCAAGTATAATATTTTAAATTACATTAAAACACTAAAACAGAAAAAAAGATCACTTGGGTTAGGTGGTGTGAGGAGGTTTGTCAAATGTGACAAGTCAGAACAGCTAATTGGGTAACTTTTCAAGTACCCCACTGAACCTATCATAGCCACTGTAACATATCACCTTCCCACATTAAACATTCAGTAAAAATTAAAAGGTGAGAAAAAAAGACACAGGAAGAATTCTTTTCCTTGTAGTTGATAATGAGTCTTACAGATTACAGGAAGAAAACCCCTATAAAAAGTATACAGTCTGGGAGTTCCCTGGTGGTCCAGCCCTAGGACTCACCACTACTGGGGCCTGGGTTCAATCTCTGGTTAAGCAACTAAGATCCCACAAGCCCTGGGGTACAGCCAAAAGAAAGTTTACAATCCGTCAGATGTCACCCTATCAATTTCTTTGCATGAAGAGCCACTTCTCTTGGTAACAGAGACACAAACACAATCCTTAGGTGGCTATACTGTATGCCAAACAGTTCCTCTCTCTGAGATAGTGTTAAAGAGAGACTGTAGAGTATACAGTAGTATATAATATATATATGCGTCTGTATTTTTAGATATACATTATTTTATGACATCCAAAATTACCATTTACTTTTTGGAAAAAGGCTAACCGCAGTTAAGTGCTATTTTTTTAATGACCTAGTTGGATTTTGAAGGTGCCCTTACCTGTCCCTTTCTGTTTACTCCGATTATTCCCGCTGTGGCTTCATGAGGTGCGGTGACAAAGATCGTTTCTCCGCTGATTCTATTCATGTAGATGCAGGTACCAGTCTCAAGGTCATAGAGGTGGATGTAACCATACTTAGTAATCAAGAATACTACATCATGCTTTTCACTGATCTGTATAAAGAAAATAAATACTTCAGTAAAATAATGAACCTACAATCAGAAAATTTAGTCCTATTCCATTTTAAAGATGGTAAAATTCTAGGATTTTGACAAGAGGCTTTTATGAAAAATTAAAAACTAGTATTTATGGTTTCTTCATTTTTATTGCAGATTCAAATATGCAATGTCCCAAGCTCTTATATAAAACACAAGGATATTAATAAATTGTATAAGACAAAAGAGAAAACATAATTTTGAAGAACCTAGGATAACCCAATTTATATATTACATAAAAGAGTATTACTTTACAAAGTTTCACTTATTTCTGAGTAAAGGCACCACTTAAATTATACTGTCAGAATTTTTTTAATTACTTGTGTTTAGAGGACAAATTTTAAGTTCCTTTGTTTTGCTTAAAATACCTGCATCGCAACCGGAAAGTCATTTTGTGCTTCTGGAGGAAAGAAAACATCCACTGCCTTCTTTGGAAACGGCTGGTTCCCTGTCGGTGGTGTGCCAACTTCAATGATATGCAACTGTTCAAAAGAAAAGTAAAACTCATGATCAACTGCTAAAAAGGACCACAGCAGCTTTATTTGTGAAAACAACCAAATGTCCTACAACAGGTGAACATTAAACTATATGGTAACAACCATACCATGGAACACTCCTCGGTAATAAAATGAACTTTCAAAAAAATAAAATAAAATGAACTTTCATAGTGTCCAGTGGAAACACATAAAAGAATAGCTACTCTTCATAGTGACTATAAAGGGGTAGCGAGAAGGCAATCTTTGCAGTAATGGAATAGTATGTATCTTGAATCTGTACGTGACAAAATGACACAGTTATGTAATTATACCAATGTCAATTTCTGGTTTGTCAAATGTACTGAACAGCTATGTAAGATGTAACCATTAAGGTAAACTAGGAACAGAGCACGGGATGTCTCTGTACTGTCTTCGCAGTTTTCCAGGAATAAAATGTATTACTTCAAGATAACAATTTTAAAAAGTCAGTTGAATAGCTCAACCACATCTCAATCTACCTTAAATTAAGAATGGTAAAACAATACCCACAAAAAGACGTTCTCATGGCTTTCGATTATAATTGAATTTTCCAAACAGAAACCTAACCCTTTGCCCACACCTACTCTAAATACAGGTAAGTATACACCCAACGTGAGTAGTCGCTCTAATCACATACACCTCAGAAATCTGGATGAAAACATTCTGGTTTAAAACATCTGATGCTGTACATCAGTAAGCAATGGCGAGAGGGCACTCATACCGTCAGTGGAAGAGTACCATATGTTCTGTTTAGTCACGTGAGGAATGGACTTACACAAGTACCTCAAGTTTCCAAGATATATAACCATACGAAAGTTACAGGGTCTCATCCTTAATTACGATGACTAGCCATACTGAAAAAGTTGTCTTCCCTCAAAAAAACCACGGCCGACTATAAAATATATAGCACAATACATCAAGTAGGCTCAAAAACCTATAAACTGGTTTTCTGATACTACAAAAATTATATACAAGGTTTTTTCTTAAGAGGACCTATCAAAAACTGTCAGAGCCTTATGTCTTAATTAATGCATCTAATTTCTAATGCCTATGGATTTTTTTGTTTAAAATTCACCAATTCAGATCTAAGCATCTGAATTTTATTTTCTATCCTTGGCCTATTGAGAGGCTGGTAGGAACATTCCTTGGTTTAGGGATTATTACTCTGAAATTTTAGGGAGAACTCTACCTCTGTACATATGTTCCCGCCCACAGGTTACTGATTACTGTATTCTAAGCACTCTCTATCTTGGTTTTTTAAAACTACTTAGCATGGGAAGCATATTAAGACTTCAGAGAATCTGCTATGGTGATGAGAGCAGTCAGACCATGTTTCCAGGGGCAGGCGTGCCAAGCCAGCACCCAGCAGTGCAATCGCAGCAACAGCAGGGCCTCAGAGCTCTGCGCCAGGGCTTCTGGCTGCTGCCCACTCTCTCTTATTCCTCCTAATTTTCCCAGCTTGGTTCTAAACCTTCTTAGCGAATGCAAACTACCCACTGTACTTTCATTATTAAACTTTATGCTCTAATCAACCATACCCTGCAACTAAGAACCCTAACAAAGCACTTCAACTTGTCCAAGGGATTTCAACGTACAGTCAGGGTTGAGAAGCTCTGATATAAGGGAACGGTACTGAAATTGTGGTCCACTCCATCTAGTCATCTACAGCATTTAAAATGCACATTATGAGCTCCACTTACTGAATCAGACTCTCTAGATGAAAGGCACACAAATGTATATTTTAGCCACCCTAGTGATTCTTAATGCACAGGAAAGCCTTTGGTAAAGACAATGAAATAAAGTCTATAAACAGCAGATACAGACAAGTTGCTTAAGAAACATTCACTTTAGACAAGTATCACCAGAAACAGAATTTAAACAAAATAAGTCACCACAAATCTGAATGTTAAAAACAAATTAACAAGAAAGAGAGAAGATTATTTTGAAATCAGATAACAAATTAATTAGTAACAGAAAGACAGAAGGAAAATTCTCATTAAAACAACTTCCAAAGGCAAAACTCACCTTCCCTCCCGCTTGACCCCGTACCGCGAAACAAAACAACGTTGACTCTTCTGCGTTGCCTTCCATCTTAAACTGTGCGAAGCTAGCCGCGTGTCCTTCAATGGGCTGAGACACTTTCCTGTCTACGGAATATAACTGCATAGCTCCTACCACACGATTTTGCTACAAAAGATCAAGCAGAATAAAGTTTGGGGTCCCAACGAACCAGTAACTTCCAAATACAATGAGTGAAATAATCAAAACACATTATCATCTTTAGAAGGATTTACAATTCCTTTTCTCTCAATGTAGATTTGATACTTCTTAATTTAAAATTTAGTTGCAAACATTCTCTTATTAAAGCTTAACATGAATGTTTAAAATGTGCCTCACATACAACCATTTCTTTACACTATCTTTTTTTTAAAAAAGAAAGATACAGGAGTACTCATTCTGCAGTAAATATCCACAATAAATTCCAAATCACTCGAACTCACTCCCTCAACCCACAGAGAAGACCTAAAAAAACTGTATGACAGTATAAGGGCATTAAACCAGCAACTTTTATTTCATTTAAAAAAAGAGGGGGGGGGGAGTCAGATTGGCAAAGAAGATCCAATTTCAAAATAAACTACATTCCAAGCACATAAATTCTCTAGACCTTTTCTTTGTTAAAAACTAGAAAAACGTTACCTGTGCAGATATGCCAGTCAGAAGTAACCACTTTTGCTTTGCATCGGTTCGATAATTGATAATCTGGCACCCTGCGAGGCTCGAGTGGCGATCAAACATTTTCACCGGCTGCGACTCTCCTTCCATGCTCCAATGATAAACTGCATTATCCGTGACAAGGGCAACAGTATTCAAAGAGATCCATTTCCAGAAGGTGACATCATCAGTCATGGTATGGGCCTTCATTTTACTTTTCATTTCAATGTTAAATATCTGGAGAGTTTTCCCAGCTAAAAACAAAAGAGAATTATGAATCACTAAGAAAGCAAAGCTCAGGATAAATTAATATCTAGCTAGATCAGAGTATCTCTGCAACAAAATCTGTTAACTTCCAAACAAAATGGTTCTAGCGTGAGACTAATAACATCTACAAAAGTCACACTGACAGAGCTGCAACCACTGAAGAGCTGAGACTGAGCAATCTACACCTAAACGTGAAGCAAAAACTATCACCTCTAATAAACACATTTTAAACAGATAGTATGGCTTCCAAAGAGTTCTAAATCCCAACTAAAAATGAACAGCTCCCTTAATGATGAAAAACAAGGTGTAACCTTCATACTTAATTAACAGTGCTTGCCCATAAACTTAATGGTTGGTACACAGAAAAAAACAAATCTGATTCAAGCACATGGGGAAAAAGCCTACTTTTTAAGAAGCAGCCATCCCCCATTCAAATATATCTTGTGGAAACTTCTTTGGAAGAGGACCTACTTGAACTCTACCTTGAACCGTAACACGCAAGAGAGGTGCATGCTACATGGTGCTGGGTTAAGATACAAAGGGAAGGCAGAGGCGCTACAGGAAAGGAGAGGGAGACAAAGCAGGATAGTTTCAGATGTTAACACACTAGAGTTACGAACAAAACTCAAGCTTCAACCAGTTAAAACAGCAAACATGGATGAAATTTGCTGTGAATGTTAAGAGTTCATTGAGTCAGATGCAAGGTTTATACTTATAATTTGAGACCCATCACAATCCAAAAAGTGATCTGCTTTAACTTAACAGAGATCAAAGCCCACAACTAATACTAGGCTGTCTAATTCATATTAGTCCTTAGAGACTAAGGAAAACTCCATTCCTGAGCCTCAAAGAATTTGGCTCCTGAAGAACAAAAATTATAAGCTAGTAAGGGAGTGGAGGTGGAGAGAGGGATGGGACGGGACACAGAACATACAGCTTTGTACCACAACCCTCCTTGATTACTACATGGGTAAAAACTTCTTTCATAAAATGAAGAATGTTATCCCATCCCACACAATATGTAAACCACAACCAGACTTGAACAATTGTGAGAGTTATGGTCCTGTTTATAAAAAGAAACCAAGGGAATTGAAACTGGATTCAGAAGGAAGCCATATTTGGGACTGACTTACCCCAACCCCTAGTTAATTCCACGTTTTGTTCTTTATGTGAAAAAGGTCGGAGCACATGTACATGGGGTGTTTTGGGGAGGAGGGCAAGGGTTGACAGCTTAACTGTGTAGTGTAGACATACAGGCACAAATCTGTAATAGTATTACTGTATGGGGCTCTGAAAACTTTTTCAATTTATTCTTTTTATAGAACAGGACAATAACTAATACAATCTAATTTAAGAAAACTCACCATCTGCACACATAAGAAAGCATTAAGAAATGTGATAAAATAACAATAACATTAAAAATAGAAAAGAATTATGAGAAAATTAAAACGATGGCCTTTTAATAGAGGGATGAGAGCTGTTAAGCAGTTGAATTTAAATTCTTTAAGGAGGCTGAAGGGAACTTACTACCTTAAATATGTACTGCAAATAACAGACTACTGCCACAAAACAAGTATCACAGGTAAAATCTGGACCATCCTTCCCAGAGATGAGATCAACTTCTATCTTGGAGATGTAACAGTGACTTATTTGAATATGCTTTCCACTGCATCCCTCGCCCAACCAATTTAATTTCCAAACAGTGTTACTACTAAACACAAAATATAAATCATGTGGAAAAAACAAGTCTATTTAAATACTTCAGCACCTGGAACAAGTCACCCACAAATTTACCAAGAAATTACTAAGAATCTGAACACTTCCTCCTACTACCAAGAAGAAAAGCAACAAACCAAAAAACAGGCAATTAAAATGTTTCTTTCAGGTTCAGATAGTTTGTTACCTAGCCCTCTTAAGAGTCTGTTTTAAATAGTCAATTCCACTCTCAGTCTAAAGTTCAAAGGAAAAAAATTAACATAAGACTCCCAGAAAGCATGAGGGTCTCTGAACTCTGTTTGGACTGACAGGTTGTAGAGTTAGTTCCCTACTATAACAATTAAAAAGTTAAGTCTGAATAAACACCATTGATTCCAAAAAATTAATACCCACCTACATATACACACACAAGTTTAAAAACTAGTATAAGTTCAAGCCAGTTTTAGAATTTGTTAATTTAAATGTAACACAAACCTGATGTATAAAAAAGACACAGAATGAAGAGCAAGTTTATCACCATAGCAAAATTCTGCAATGTTTAGTCGCTAATAGTAAAGTATATTTTACTCCAGAAAACCAATCACTAATTTCTTATGTCTTCTGTAAATGGGTTATGTTTTCAATATAATCTTACCACACCATAGGTATAAAGCTTAAATTCATTTAATCTAAATCTTAAAATTTTCCAAGTATATTTATGAGTGGAAAGTAAGACAGCTCACAGAATTATGCCAAGTCAGTCATGAAAATAGTTTAAAAAAAAAATCAAACACAGTAACAGCTTTAATTTTGCAAATCTATTTAACCAAACTTAATATACTAAAAAAAAGATCCTAATTACTGTATTTGAATAAATTCCTACAGGAAAAGTTTTAAGAAAAAAACACAGTCTGTTTATACCTTTTAGTGCAATTACTTTGCTGGCTGGATTCATGATGGCGCTGTCTGCTGAAATTGGTCTTCGAATTGGATTACTTGGGTCATTCATATCAATAATTACCACCTGGGCCTGCTCTCCTACTTTCTCTCTAATGCAGATGAATTTGTCTGACTCCATAGTCAAGGTACTGAAGCCAATGTTTGCTGGGTTTATACCCAGGTTCTGGAGCTGAGGGAAGAAAAAAACAAAAAATATTAATCATGCTACAAAGTGAATTGGAAAGACTTGATATTCATGTGTTGTCATCATTACAAATCCTCTATTACTACTTCAAGGTCAACACTGACAACTCCATTACTCGGATTCAAATGAGGCAATTAATATAATGGACCTTCTCTCTTCCAACAAGTATGGCATTCAATTGTTTTGTTATAATCCTGCAGTTGTAACTTGAGAGGTATAACCATCTGGTTACAACTAAGAGGCAGAACAGACAGATATAAAGGGAAGAGCTACATCTGAAAGGTAGCCTTTATGGGTCAAGGAAACTGAGGTAATCAATGTTTCTTGGTTTGGGATCTCTGAACTATTGGATCTGTCCTCTCTAATCCCCTTTAGCATTTAGTAGTCACTTGATCATATGTACTGGACTTCAGGAAACTGAAAATTATTGATAAATTATACCATAAAATGAGAGAGTTAAAAATTTCACAGGGTTCTTGGTCTAAAGAAACTTGGATCAGCCAGAGCAGACAAGTAAGTTACAATACTTTGCAAAAAGTGCCAAAACAAATATACATAAGAGAGAGCCAGTCAAAGGAAGACTACAGGCAAGGGAGTGAATGTGTTCAACAGAAGTAGACTAGAGAACACACCACAGAGGATGCGCACATATTAAAGACTAGAAATATAAAGGTGTGGTCTGTTGCGCCTTCCCTGGTGGTCCACTGGTTAAGAGACTGCCTTTCAATGCAGGGGACGCTGGTCGGGTCCCTGGTTGGAGAACTAAGACCCCACATGCTGTGGGGAACTAAGCCATGTGCCGCTACTAAGGCCCAAAAGAGCTAAATAAATAACTTTAAAAAAAAAGTGTGGTCTGCTAAGGGAATTCTAAGTGCTCCTGTAACACTGGGAACAGAGATTATGCAGGAAAGGCTTTTGTAGAAGTAAGATCACAGACGCAAGTATGGGCTAGACTGGTAAGCTACATGTACCCCGGGAAGAATCCTGAACGGATCCTAAGGAAACTACTTAAGGAAAACAATGGAGGCAGATTTGCTTTGTGGACGCAGAAGCTATTAATCTGCTAAGCAAATATACAAGATCTAAAGATGACACGTCTTTGAAAACTAGTTAAATATGTAAGTGAGAACAAGAGGAGGAGATTTCTATCAGAATGGGTCATTTCTCTAGGTGACTAAATGTAGTATAATAGACCACCGCTCAAAGGCTACCTGAAGGCGTTCTTAGCTTTGACCAGCCTAAGGGTTTGTTTTATTTTCTTCCTCCAACAGGTAACAAATTCACACAGAACAAAATACAAAAATTTAAAAGCATGGGAAAATAAAAATCACTGTCACTACTCTCTTCTGGACCAGCCGAGCCAAGGAAACTGTGCACGCATGCTCACTCAGTCCTGTCCAACTCTGCGACCCCGCGGACTGCAGCCCAGCAGGCTCCTGCTCTGTCCGCGGAATGCAGGCAAGATACCCGAGTGGGCTGCCCTTTCCTACTCCAGGGGATCTTCCTGACCCAGGGACGGAACCCATGTCTCCTTCACTGGCAGGTGGATTCTCTACTGCTGAGCCACCTGGGAAGCCCTCAAGGTAACTGTCTTTACACCAATTATTCTGTCAAACTCTTCTGCCAAGAGAGCTTAACTATAACCAGTCCAGGATCTCAGAAGAATACAACGTAAGGTTAAGAGACTACATTGTACTTTCACTTCCCTCTTACACCTCAATGACTGCAGGTACAATGATAAAGTTACAGTAACTTTGTCACTGAATACTAGGGTAAGGAACCCAGCAATTGTCTAACTATTAACACAAACACGGTAATAAAGTGGAAGATTAACTAGCTGTACAACCTCAAGTATATGCTGCAGTGCAAGGCAAGTATACAAGCTGTGAGATATGTAACTTATGAGTGAGTCTGGTTACAACAAAACTTTATGAAATACCAATTTTCATTTCTTCCTAACTTTTAGTGACATTCAGTTTCAGAACTAGTGGAGGACGAGAAAAAGAAGTGGTCCTCAACAATCCATGAAGGGAACTTGTAGGGGGGTTAAGGGAAGCCTTGTGCAAACCAGGCTGTCTAATTCCCTAAGAGGTGGATACATCTTTATTTCAGAGTAGACCAGTCCTCAGGCCCAAGTTTGAGAGTTACCTTTCCAACAATCAAAAAAATATTTCAGTAGATCCTAGAGCTCCCAGAACCATATACATAAAAGCAACAAGTTATCTTCTAAACTACTCTTTCAAACAATTCTAGCCTTCTAAGTTACTACCAAGCATTCACCAAAGGCAATTTTGAGTCTCAGCTGTCATAGCTTAAATCCTACAGTGTCTGAGAAAGTAAAAATAAACAGTGCTAGTCAAATAGTAAAATTAAAACAAGGATGCAAACCACAAACACACTGAACTAAATGATTCTAAGAGATTCCTTTTTATCCGTCCACATAAGAGTTAGGTAGAAAACAACTGTTAAGAAAAGACTATGAGATAATAAAGAGGGAAAATGCTAAGTCAAGAAACATGTGTTTTTTATTCTCTACCAGATCTCCAGATAAATGCAGCAAGAAATGTCTTCAAATGCCAGCAGAGACCTTCAGCCTCAGAGCTGTTTTATTTGCAGAAAAAGCAAAGATTTGGTGCAAAGTGGGGGCAGTTCCTGATACTTCTCCTCAATCTATGTAGCACTTTTACTTTTTCTCATTAAACACATTCTACCAAGAAAGCTGTGTATATTTATTTTCTAACTTTCTCTATCAAGGATGTACTCCATATGAAAGATTTACACTTTATTTAAAAAAAAATTAAATAAGAAGTAGGTGGCAAATCCTCACCAATCTACACATTTAAACATTTTAAGAAAGATACTTAAGTAATGCCCATTTACACAACTAAATAGGAAACTGCTCCTTCCTAAAAAAACTTCTCCCAGTTGTTAGGATAAGTGACCTATTCCAATTAGTTAACAGAAAGTTATTTGGGAGGGGGGTTCAGGATGGGGAACACATGTACACCCGTGGCGGATTCATATCAATGTATGGCAAAACCACTACAATATTGTAAAGTAATTAGCCTCCAATTAAAATAAATTTATTTTTTTTAAGTTACTTTTTCTCCCTTGTCTTCAAATAAGGCCAGTAAGAATTTTTCCTTACTGCTGATACTTCTCAGTGAGAATACCCAGAACACTCACCAATTCTTCCCATATTTTCCAAGGGTATATTAAAAAGAAAAACATCCCAAAACAATTCTCGGTTAGATGCACTCTCAAACTGGGGTCACATAAAAGGGTTATCATACTAGATATCTGTGTCTAATAATATCTGTATAGATCAAAACACCATATACTAGCCATAAAATATTCTAGTCAGTTATAAAGGCCTAATGGTATATGAGCTATATACCACAGAAACTGAATCACAGACTGTAGAACAAACCATTAATAAATTCAGAGAACATATTAATATTAAGCGTCTCCATACCTGCAGCTGTTTTCAGAGAATACACAACTCTGTCCACATTTTTTAATCCTCTCAATTGGCAAAATATTGCTACTTTTGAAGTTGTTTGTTGTTGACTCGCTAAGCTGTGCTGGACTCTCTGCGACCCCATGGACTGTAGCACGCCAGGCTTCCCTTTTGTCCTTCACTACGTCCTGGAGTTTGCTCAACCTCCTGCCCATTGAGTCAGTGATGCCATCCAACCATCAAATCTTCTGTCACCCCTTTCTCCTTCTGCCCCCCAATCTTTCCCAGAATCAGGGTCTTTTCCAGTGAGTCAGCTCTTCCCATCGGGTGGCTTAACTCTATTGGAGCCTCAGCTTCCGTCCTTCCAATGAACATTCAGGGTTCATTTCCTTCAGGATTGACTGGTTTGATCTCCTTAGTGTCCAAGGGACTCTCAACTGTTGAAGTTGGGAATATTCTATTTTGAGATATATTTGGAAGTTTCTATAATAAAGTATCTTTTTTAAACTTCAAATAATTTTATTATTTTATAATTATTTATAAAATAAGGATATGGAGTCAATACCCTTCAGTCCAAGAAAATGGAGTGCTTTCTTTTTGAATAGTTGTGACATGCATATGACCAGTCATTCTATACAGAAGGGTATAACTACTATTAAAAGTCACTCACTCCATGTTTCCAGTAATACCTCTCTCCTGCCAGCAATTAGGGATACTTTTCCATCTTAGACATCCTATGCACAGATGGAAAGAAAAAAAAAAAAAAATATATATATATATATATATTTCTCCAGTTTCCCTTAAAAAGAAACAACACTAGTCTCCCTTAGGGAAAAAAAAATAAACCACTAATGGTACATACACAAAAGCACACAACTATCCATCGCTTCCTTTTAAAGAAGAAAGCCACCCAAACTTGCCATTTGTTTAGTTTCCAGGATAGATTCTGTATACTAGTCTGTAAGTGGCACTACTGTTTAAGACTTGACATTCAAATCTAGTTCAGATTCTAAAAAATAAGTAGTCATCCATCTCTGGCTACCCACTGGGGATTGGTTCCAGGTGCCCTGGCAGACATCAAAAATCCACAGATGCTGGTTAAGTCCTTTATAAGTATGGGAAACCACAGACACGGAGAGGAGGGTTGACTGTAAACAGATTTACTGTTAATCAGCACACCCAAAACTCTGGAGTGCCCTGTCATTTTACAAATGACACAGAATTGTTTCCTCTTCCTTTCCCCTCTCCCCCCAATTTGGATTAACACACCAAGGGGGAAAAAAGACACTGCATTCTTAGTTTTGTAGTGAGAAACAGTATTTCAGATTCCCCACAATCCAGAGAACACAGAAGGTTCTTCATTCAAATAGACAATTACTGTACAAATGTATAACTCTGATTATAAACTACAAATGCCATCCAGAATCAGTTCTGTGGATTCATCATAGGAGACAAAATGTCTGAGTTTAGCCCTAGTTTTGCCACATAAATGACCAAAGGTAAATCAGTTATCTCTGTATATCTA